AGAGAGAAGAGTTCGAGATTAGAGATGACTGAGAGCTAGCCGTAAGGGACAATAATGACTGACGTCAAGAGCATGGAGAGAAGAACTCTGTGTGCTTCACAATTTTTTCTTTTTGAGAGTTTGAGAGCAGAGAGAAGAACTTTGGGGTTTTTTACAAGGAGAGAGAGAGAGAGAGAGAGAGAGAGAGAGAGTTAGGTTAGGTTTAAGACTTAGTGACATTTTTTTAGGGAAAATGGTGAATTTTTTTTGGGAGAGTTGACCTGGGTATAAGGCATCAATCATTAAAACTTTTACTAAAAAAAACTGAAAGATATATAGCATCAGTTCAAATATCGATCGATGCTAATTCTATATAAAGGCATTGGCTTCGACTGCCCAGTATTGGTTGTAATGTTCTTACACCCCTATAGCCTCGCTTTTTATAAAACTTATGTCTAAGAGACTAATAGCATCAATTTCATGTTACCAATGCCTATTAAGTGTTGCGTAAAGTGAATTTTGGCATAGAGAATGTGTTTTGTTAATTAAATTGTTGAATTAAGTTAAATATTATGCCTCTATGCTTGCTCTCATATTTATGATTTTTGAGTTAAATATTATGTTTATGCCTCTATTATGCTGAATTGAATTGAGAATATTTTGTTTGTTGTCCCAATTGAATATTATGCCTCTTTTTATAATTTTCAATTGATTTGGTTTATGTTTTTTTTAGTTTAATTTGTTGTTTTGTGTTTTTTGGAGGTTTAACTTGAATTTTGTTTTAGAGCTTTAATTTGTTTATGTTTACATTGTTTAAGCTGTTTTTGAGTTGAATTAAATATGTTTTTGAGTTAAATATAAAATATATTAATATGTCTCTATGTTGTTTCTTGTCGTGTTGTATTTGATAGATGAAGTCTAGCCAGTCTAACACACCTAATGCCTCTAATCCCCGAACACAAACCGAAACAACCGAAACATAAGGCAGTTATTATGGGAGATAGGAGGAAAGCCCCAATATCGATTGTGTTGTTACATTGCCCAAAACAAATAAAAACGGATGGTAATGAGGTAGAAAAGATTATAGGGGTTCGCAATTATTGCAAGATGAAGATGTCGGTGGACTCTAGAAAAAAAGGGGACAATGGGTTTTAAAAACTCACATAGAGAGGCATCTCCTCTCTATCAAGAAGGTGATGCAATTCAACTACCTTGACTTCGGATACAATGGGTAGTGGATTGGTCCCTCACACATTCAATCAAAAAAAGAGTGAGTTAAAGATTGTGAGGTTCATCATTAAGGATGAGCATCCTTTTAGATTCTTTGAGGGCTCAGGTTATAAGGAAATGATGTATGAGATGCAACCTCGATTGAAGTTACTAAGTAGGAAGAACATTGCCGAGGGGGTATGAGAGTTATACATGATTGAAAAGGCAAAGGTGATGAGTGTGATTGGTGAGCAAAAAGTTAGTATCATAATCGATACTTGGACATCAATGCAAAACATAAATTACATTGTTGTGATGGTCCACTTCATGGATAGTGATTGGAACTTGTACAAAAGAATCATTAGCTTCAAAAAGATTACTAGTCACAAGGGCATTGACATATGGAAAATCCTAGATGCATGTTTGACGGATAGGGGTATACACAAGGTATTCACAATTACTATTGATAATGCGAATGTGCCAATGGATGTGCTTACAAAGTGGAATGCAACATAAAACATACTTGAATGAACATTTAAGTATAGACAAGTCTTTCATAGGATGACCTATAGTTGTGAAGTGTTTCAAGCAAGGCCACTGTTGGGCTTGAGCGCCAAGGGTGACGGCCATGGGCCTTCGATTTTTGGGGCCTCAAAATTTTTATTTATTAAATAGTAATATAGTATCACATTAAGTAGTAATAAAAAAAATTAATAAAACAAGTCCCATTAAATTTAAAAACAACAAGGGAATCCAAGAGAGAGACCTACTTGTTCATTAAATTGGTGAACATGGCCGAGAATATCAACCAAAAGAGAGACCCACTTGATTAAATTAGTGAACTTGGCCACATTTTGTGGATTTAAAATCGTGGAGTGGGTGAGTGGCTTCTTGGATGGAATGTTTGTATGCCCATGCCATCCTCATCTGTCTCCCACGCATGCCTTCTCATGATTTCCCCACAGCTGCTCCTTTCAAAACTCATGATTTCTCAAAGAATTCTATCCTAAATACCTCTCAGCTATCAAACCTGTTAGACCTATTCATAGGTCCAAAGCATCAACTTCCTGAGCTCAAGTCGAAATTCTCCCTTCATCAAACTTGTTCCTCTTCACCTCTACTATAACATGTCCAAAAATGAGCCCAATCGAAGAAATTGACACCTAAAACGCAATTTTAGTGCAAGTAGGTCATTTATGCTATGTTACCTGGTTTTTTATATTAAATTGCATGTATGACATATCGAATTATAATTTATATCATTGCAGATGTGTAGCATAGATTAATTGAAGTTAAAGTTCTGCAAGATTGAAGCTATTTAATACAACTTAAGTATAAACTAGGTTGTTTTTTTTTTTTTTTTTTTTTTTGTTTGTTGGGTGGGGTTTAATTTAGTTTTTTTTTTTTTTTTAAATTACTTTTGTTTGATTTGGTTTTCATTTCCATGGTGTGTTTATTTTGTTCATTTGTTGTTTATGACTTTCTAGATTTAAGATTTGTAGTAAAAAAAATGGCTAAGAGACATGAATCTAGAAGTAAAAAAAGAAATAAAATGAGAAAAATAGCAAAAAATGATTCAAACTCAAAAAGGAGCTCTTGATAAGTTTTTGAAAACTAGTTCTTCAATTGACGATCCATCTAATGAATACTTAATGAATTACAACAACCAATTACTCAGGAAAAGGAAAATGATAGAAAATGAAGAGATTGATGCCCTCATTGAGAATGAAAATAATCTAGAAGTAATGAGAGAGAATGTTACAAATGAACTTAATGAGGTTGGTGGTCAATTTGAGAATGAAAATGAAATTGAACAAATAAGTCATTCTTTGAATATCTATGATCCAAGAATTTGGGATAACATTGATAATAAAGCAAATGCTATTTTAGTATAAAAGGGTCTTGTAAGAGAAAGTAATATCAAGTTTCCTGTGGATGGGCTCTCTAGGCATTTTTCATATTCTTATTATACAAGAAAGTTATCAAACGGGGAGGGTCAAGATAGAAAATGGCTAGTGTACTCAAAATATGTAGACAAAGTACATTGTTTTTGTTGTAAGTTGTTTAAATCTGTGAAAATTAGAAGTTTGTTGGCAAATGAAGAGCTTAATGACTGGAAATATTTAAGTGAGATGCTTAAACAACATGAAACTAGTATTGAGCATATTGATAACATGAGAACTTGGATTTACCTGCAAATTAGATTGAAAAAGAATGAAACAATTGATAAAGAGCTATAAGTGCAAATTAAAAAAAAAGAAGGAACATTGGAAATTGGTTTTAGTAAGAATAATTTAAGTTGTAAGATGCCTTGCTAAAAGAACTTTAGCTTTTCGTGGAGAGGATGAGAAAATTTACCAAGATAACAATAGTAAATTTTTGGTGCTGCTTGAATTAATTACATAATTTGATTTGGTATTGCAAGAGCATTTTAGATGTATTCAAAATAATGAGATTCATTATCACTATTAGTCATAAAATTCAAAATGAGTTGGTTAAAAGTGCTACAACTGAAAAAATGTAGAAGAATATTTTTGAGAATACTTGATTGTACTCCGAATGTAAGTCACCATGAACAAATGACTTTAATAATCCGATGTATAGATGTGTCAAATGCTCCCATAAAGGGTGAAGAGTATTTTTTAGAGTCCTTGAAAGTGGATGATACATCTGGATGTGGGCTTTTTAATGAGTTACAAGTTGTATTAAAGTGTCTTGAACTTGATATTAATAATGTAAGGAGCCAAAGATGGAAATTGACCTTGTATTTCCTGAAAAACATGAAAGTCGTAGGAAAAAAAAACAATTTGTTGAAAATGACCATGAAGAGACATTTCAATCTGCTTAAGAATCTTTTAGGGTTAGTTATTTTCTTGTTGTACTTGATGCTGCAACTTCTTCTTTGAGGAGTAGATTTGAACAATTAGAAATATTTGAAGGCAATTTTGGTTTTTTGTTTGATCCTAAGAATTTTTTTTCAAATGAATTATAGTAGATTGCGTGAATGTTGTACAAATCTTGAAGTTGCTTTAACACCTGATATCAAATATGATATTAATGCTGATGATTTATTTTCTGATTTGGAAGTGTTACCAATATATTTACCGAAAGAAACAAAGACAACCATTGAAGTTCTCGAGTTTGTAAAAGTTGTGAATTGTTATCCAAATGCCTCAATTGCTTTTAGAATTATATTGACTCTGCCAGTAACTGTGACATCTGCAGAAAGAAGTTTTTCAAAATTAAAATTAATAAAATCTTACTTGAGATCAACTATAACACAAGATAAGTTAAATGGATTGGCAATCTTATGCATTGAAAAGAATATGTTGGAAAATATTGATTTTGAAGAAGTTATTGATGATTTTGCTTCCCAAAATGCTAGAAGATCAAGAATTTTTCAGTGATTGTTTGTATTTTTAATGTTACTACTTTTGTTTTTTGATTTGTAGATGATGGATGGAAGTTAAAGCAGATTTTTGTGTACAATTAAGCCACTTGAGAACTTTTGTTTTGTTGGAATTTTAGACGCTCTATGAACCTAATATGATTTTTGTTGTCTATGGATCATGTACTTTTGGTTTTTTCTTTTGTTAGTTGAATGAAATTATTCTATTTAAGCAAGCTTAGTTGTTTTGTGGGGCTTTGCCCCTTATTCATAAAAAGAAAAAGGCATGAGCAACACACACACACACCCAAAAAAAAAAAAGTATACTAAGGGCCTCATTTAATTTTTGGCCATGGACCACCAAAATGTCAGGGACCACCTTGGTTTCAAGGTTACTTTCTAGAGGAAGAGAAAGTTAAAAAAAATGATGGTTAAGAAAGTGGGACCTCCAAAATATGATGATTGGGAGAAGGCATTAACTTTGATGCATTTTCTCAAAAAGTTTCATGATGCTAGATTGAAGTTTAATGCAACCAAAACTTGTACATCCACAATAATTTTCCTAGAATTGGTTGGGTTACAAGTTCAAATAGAAAAGAAAATGAAGGATCCTAGAAATCCTACTATGCAACAGGTAGAATTTTCAATGAAGTTGAAATTTAACAAGTATTGGGGGATCTTTGAGGTTGTGAATAAGCTTATATTTTTGGGCAATGTGCTAGACCCAAGGATGAAGCTTCAAATGCTTCAAGTAAGCTTTGGCAATCTTGGGGCGAATGCTAGAAAGTAAGATGAGATTGTTAATGAGGCTGTAAAGTGTTTGAATGATTTGTATAATAAGTATAAAGGGGTTGGGGGTGGTGTTGCGAGCCAAATTGATGAGGATGAGATTGCACAAATTGGTGAGGATGTTAATGCCACATTTTAACTAATGCAGCAACTTCTGCAAAGAAGGAAGGATGAGCAATCCGTTAAGATATTTAATGAAGTGGATAAGTACTTGGAGGATCCTTTTGAGAGTCCTTTGAGCAAACAATTCAATATCTTGAATTGGTGGAAAGGGAACCAAACAAGATTTCCAATTCTTTCACAAGTTGCCAAGGATATTTTTGCAATTCCAAGTTGTACGGTTGCTAGTGAAAATGCTTTTAGCCTAAGTAAGAGGATTGTGAATCCTTTTAGAAGCTCATTACATCATAAAATGGTAGAGGTATTAGTATGTACTTCTGATTGACTTAGGGCAGAAGAATTTATACATTTCACAAGGAACCCACAGATGATGAGATTGAATTCTACAAGGAAATGGAACATGTTACAACTTGTAAGTAATTAATTTATTATTTTCATGTTCTTTAAGCTTCTTATAATATTTTCTCCTTCTTGAGTTAATTACCGCATTATGACTTGGCATTTAATTGGGCGAAGATGATGGGCAGATGTCGGCACAAGTTGGGTTGGTTTTGGTCCTAATCCCTCATCCAACTCATACATAGTGGCTTATGATTTCTTGGGAGCTGCTTATTATTAGGCCAACCCAATCCAACTCTTTTGTGATCGAGTTGGGTTGTTTGATTAGGTTAACCCAAAATGATGCCCACTCTTAAGTTTTGGTTCCAACTCATACATAGCGGTTTATGATTTTTTGAACCCAATACCCACTCATTACTAGGCCAACTCTCTTATGATCGGGTTGACCTATTCAATCAAGTTGACCCAAAATTGTAACCACAGAGTTAGGTTAATTGCGTAAAGCAGGGTACCCATTCCTTTTTCACCCATGTCTGATCCCCTCCTCGTACATTAGAATAGTATAGATATTGTATTATCAAAATAGAAAGAAAAAAAAGAACGAAAATGTTATGCTTCTAAAGGAACGATTGCAGCTTCTAATAGAAATGTTATTGCTGCCAAGGGAAATGATGTTCAGTTAATTCCAAAAGAGTTTAAGGTAGGAAAAAGGGGATGAAGGAGGTCTTAGAGGTAAGGAGAGAGTGGAAGAGTTTGATCTCTTAAAAATTGCTAGTGACAAAGAAAATTAAGTCGAAATAAAATGAAAAACTTCGTTTGACCGCAGATTATTTCATACTTTTGGATACTCATCCAACATGATGAAAATGCTTACAAAATGATGAACGTCTCGAAGTCAGTCATTACATACCACTTCACATGAACTACTTATTCTCATAACGGTAAGGAAATTTACAAAGCTCATGAGGTACAAAGAAGCATTATGGCATGACAAAAGGCACATGCTCATGTGCAGTGGCGGAGCCACAGTGGGGTCAATGGGTTCGCACAACCTCTTGGAAGCCATGGAAATAGGCTTAGAGGTCCCTTGGAGCTGGGGGAGAGACCCCTTAGAGTTGCACACCTGGTGCTCAACGTTTTACCTGAGGAAGAAACGAGTTGCGAGGAAGAAGACAGTTTTTTTTTTTTTTTTTTTTTTTTTTTTTTATACATCTTGGGCAAAACTACGTCATTTTGACCCAGGAATTGTCTTTAAAATGGCTTGGCCCAGCAACTCCCCCTAAAGTCCAAACCCACCCAAACCTACGTCGTTTATGATTCATCCCATTGCTTTCAATCATAAAACTTTACCAAATCTAAAAAATATTGGCCAAAGTTTAACATACACCTCTGCCCAACAACCCTTTATATTTCCCAACAAGATTTATGAAAAACATAAAAATACTAAAATAATTTACACCACGTCTCTGCTCCATTCAACTCAAACACTCAAATGGACTCCTAAAATCAACAAATTCTATTATTTTCTACCCTAAACCCTAAACTAAATCTCCCCCCAAACCCTCAACATGGCTGAAAATTTATTCTCTTCCCTCTCCATCTCTGATTTTATAAATTTCTTGTTCTTGGTATACTTATGTTACATTCTTTTGTTTGATGTAATGCATAATATTTTTATTGGATATTGATATATTGGAATGGATGAATATTGATGATTTTGTGTGTGGATGATTTATTGGATTGGATGACTATATATGATTATTTGATTTGTTGGAATTTAGGATTTATGATTAATTTTGTGATGGATAACTTATAATAAGATAGGTTTGTTCATTTGTCTTAATCAAATTTGTTTCTTTTTTATAAAAAAAAATTGATTGTTTGGTTTGATTAATTCATGCTTAGAATTATGGAACGATAAGAGGAAAGTAATAGAAAATTATCTTTTAGCGTTATTTTCATCTTAAAAGAAATATCAGAACTTTTACACTAAGACTCCTTAGGATAACAATCCTGGATCCGCCACTGCTCATGTGGCTTTCCATGAAGACACTGGAGGAGTTTCAGAGTTCTTCCAAGTACTAAAGTCATTCTGATATCTGCCACCTTTAACGGCATCAGCAGAAGCAAAAAATTCAAGCTCAGCCAGTTCTTCTGGTGTCAATTTCACAGAGAGAGCACCAATGTTCTGGTTAAAATTCTCAATCTTGGTGGTTCCGGGTATCGGACACACATCGTTTCCTTGATGATGAACCCAGGCTAGTGCTAGCAGAGATGGGGTGCACCACTTCCTTGCCGCAAGATCACTAACCCGCTCAAATATTGTTTTATTATGCTCTAGGTTTTCAGCTTGGAACCTGGGTAGATACTGCAACCAACAAAGTAATCAAGGTTAAAATGACTTTATCAAAATGATATGATAAAGAGGAGGCACAATTCAAAGGCCCTGATAGGATAGGAGAGTTCTCGCCTGCTAGGAGAGATTACTAAAACTTGTGAGATCAATTACTAATTTGAGGACTTGCTAGGAGATAGAAGGAGATTCACAGTGCTACTAATTTTCTCTAATGTGCATGCACTTGTGCACTTGAAAATAAATACCTATTTGGCATATCAACATACCTTTCGGAAATCATCGTTGGGAAGATTTTCGACCAAGTTAGCTCCTGATGAGAAGAATCCTCTTCCTAGAGGACTGTATGCAACAATGCCGATGCCTAGTTCCCTGGGAAAATCGAAAAATGAGGTTAGCATGAAATTTTACCAACTTTATAAACAAATCAGTTAGTTCCATTAAGACTCACCGGCAAGTAGGAATTATATCTTCCTCCACATCTCTTGACCACAATGACCACTCCACCTGCACAGCTGTTATTGGATGAACAGCGTGTGCTCTTCTTATTGTGGAATGACATGATAAAGGAGGTTAAGGAATGACATGCATTTCTCAAAATAAGTGAATCATGACGCATGCCAGTACAAAAAAGAATAATACTAACAGTCAAGTATATAAGGAAAGTCACATAGCTACAGCCTACAAGAAATTTATGCTAAAGTTTGTGTAATTTGACTAATTTAGATATGATATATGCTCTTAAATAGATACAAAAGAACCTAGTGCTCAATCATGTTAATCAAATGGTGGTTCACAAATCTCCAAACACACTTGCTTAATTCAAGATTCAAAATTTAAAAGATCTGGACTCTAGATGTATAAAATACAAATTTCTCCTATATCCAGTGCAAAGGTTAGACATATGATAAAGATAATAACTGAGGGTCAAACAAAGAAAAATCAAGATGAAATATTTTTTCAGTTAAAATCAGTAAGAAGATTTACACAAACCATCATCTGAAATTGTTGATAAATTACTAAGAGTAATTCAAACTTTTATAACTAGTTCATCGTCACTTGACGCTTAAAGATATGAAAATACACTCATCGGAGATTCTCCAATAAGTATTTTATGTTAAGGATTGGCTACATACTTCGAACTTGGCCGTTGGATTGCCTTCATGAAATATGTTGGTAGTCTCTTAAATGCAATCCAACGGCCAAAATGTAACTAATACTTAAATACACATTGGAGAATCTCCCTACACTCATCAATGACAACCTTTTCACGCTTGAACTACTCAACACAACTTTGTTTAGAAAATGGAACTAAAAAAGGGGTTTCCAGTCAAAAAGAGATGTGGTCAAACCATACTTCTACTTCGTAGAACACAAACGAATTTGAATGTGGAATTGATAAAATTGTGAACTAATAAAATGATAGAAGATGTTGTAGATCTTTGAATAACCATGACTTCAATAGACTGGCAGATGCATAGTTACTAATTTCAATTAGTCCCCCTCGAGCACCATTCTTACTAAACACACGTCTTGTTTTCTCAATTCAATGGAAACTGGGAGGAGAGGTTAGAGAGGTATGGACAACGTGGGTGGACATTTTACCTCCAAATCTTGACAGGAAAAGCAAATGAACTTGGACATTTTTACCTCTAAAAAAATCCAAGGAATAAGATAAAAGGCATTCAGAAAAAGATCACAGCCATAAAATGTGACAAATCATATCACATTACAGTTTATAATACCTTCATTATTTCTACAAAGGAACGGCAAATTTGTAGATTGCATTAATAACTCAATATGATATTGGTGTTCTTTACAGGGATGATATATACATGCTTGATCAAAGACTTATATGCAATAGAACAAGAATTATAGACTAAAATATAGAAACTAATATCATTCTGTATATTGGTTTCACATTCTGTTGGTGAAAGAATCATGTTGATCAGGTCTTCAAAATACAAATGGGAACCCATGAAAGTGAACTGGTTGAGCTTGAGGTGAGAGACCGAGAGGTGAAAACCATGGAAGGGAACTTCTAGAGCTTGAGGTGTTGGCATCCAATGGGCGTCGTGTTCGAACGGCCTTTCCACCCATTTATTTTGGAAATGGTCCACCAACAGTTAATAGGAATGGGGCTTTCAAGAGTCAAATTGCCAAAAACGAACATTGTAATGGAGCTTTCAATAGCAATGATTGCATTCCATTGCAGTTAATCCCTTCGAATCAAACAGCACCTAAGGGAAATTGAAGCCAATCATGTTGCATTTTCACCAGCAAATAATGCCAGCAATTGAGCTAGCATTGTAAAACTAGCATGTGTTGATATGCATAGCCAAAAACAAATTTTCTCACGCACATTCTCCTGCCCTTACGCACTACACCCTACACATCCCCACATATTAATACACCAACCATTTAAAAAAGTGAACAAAATTTGTCCATCACAATAAACTGCTTTCTATGTAACAATTCTCATTGGTCCCAATGCAAAAAGAAAAAAAGATCTTAAGGATCTCCAGTAGTTTTACATCTTCGAGTAGTAACATAAACCTTGTTCGATTTTATCATCGACAAAACAAAAAGTTACCCTAACATAAACCTTCTTCACTAATGTATTTGTTATTTAATACTAAACATACCAAATTATTATAAATAAATAAATAAAAGTATCGTCACCTTTGTTGACCAATTATACAAAGGTACATGTAAAAAATGGCTAGTAAAGACAACATTGATATGAAAACCATAATATATGTGCAGCACACACATTCATGACCTCTATAATCAAAGATAATTAGGGCAATACAGAGAATTAAGTAGTGTACTTGAGAAAATTTAAATATTTGTTGTTCCTCAAGATAATGAAAAGGAAATGTCCATTCCTGGCAGCTCCCAGCAGAGTTCCCAAATTGAGACGACAAAGTAAACTAAATGATAACATCATTAAGTGTCGTAACTCAGAAGATTATAACCTTTGCGATTTGGTAGCATCCCAGTGCTTTCAGCTGAAATTGGGAGGACAATGAAAAGACCACTTTCATCTTTTAAGGTTTTCTTGCTCTGCACTGCTCTTCAAAGAGCCAGTCTTCACAGCATCAAATTCAGCCAACTTTGCATACACAGTTGCTTGGCTATGCAAATTAGGTGAGTCTGAGGTTCTGAAAGTATCATCCTGTCAAAGATATGTATAAGGAATTCAAGATTATGCAATGTGGGCCATTTATATGAAGAAAAGTATAATTCATACCTTCACCACAGTATTTCTTGACTTCAGCTCCTCCTTGGGCTTCTCAAGTGAACTGTTGGCCCCTAAGAATACATATAAACTGGTAGCTAGGAGAGAAGCAAAACATTACTTGCCAGCAATGTATGGCTACTAAGAATACCACCATCACTCAAAGAAGCCAGGTCTTGAGGATTATCCATCAGCCTTCTAGCCATAGGACCAGGATTCATAAGTGATATACACCGGACTTCATAACGAATCGACTCTAGTTGAGTGAATGCATCTTGAAGTTCTTTATGAACCTAAAGGTCAAGCAAGGGGCATAAAATGAACAGATAAATCATTTGGTTCAAGGACATTGAAATTCTAATCATTACCCGATTGTGCACAATGCATGTTAGCTCACAAAGAATTGACGATAGAATGATAATTATCAAACCATCATTAAGTAAGGAATTAGAAAATGCACCTGGCGGGCTTGAGACTGCTGCATAACATTATCGAATTGGCCTCTAGCTAACTGAACATACCCGATTGACTGACCCGCTAACCTCCCTGCTGTTCTAGCAATTCCAGGCAAATCCTTTGGTCCTACAATTTACAAACCATTAAACATCAAACCCAGTTCACTTTTTCAGTCAATATTTCCAATAAAATTACCCAATTTTTGACCTTGGCAAAGAAAAATTCAGAACCAATGCTGACAATGAAAATGCTACAGCTATAACAGCCCAACTCTCTCTCATGGGTACCCAAACATTTAGGTTCCATCCCACGCCTAAGTCAGAAAAAGATTGAGAGAAAAACTGGAGTATAACGCATTTTTCTTTTGAGATAAACACAAGAGAGAGAGAGAGAGAGAGAGAGAGAGAGAGAGAGAGAGAGAGATTGGGTGTATACCGACTAGACCAGCTGTGGCTCCAATCAAGAGGAAGAGCTCTCCATATGAAATACCGAACATTTTGCGCCTTACTGTATAAAACGATTTGTCTGGGTAGCTGTGGCTGTTTACATTATGATCCTGTCGTATACACAGGAACTTTTCCTATTCATCTATAATCTAAATAAATCAAAATTAATTACAGGGAAAACAAGTACAGAAGGGAGGGTTTTAACTCAGTGGTGAAAAATTTGCAGGAACATGGAAAAAAGAATTAAAGAAACATTTATGAGCTTTTTGATTCAATCCGAGAGCAGAATTCTTGATACAAGTCAAAGCTCTTTTGCCATTTTAAGAATTCCCCCTTCAATTTACGATACGCCTCCAATTCCTTCTGTTCAAACTTCAGGGAAGAAGCATCAAATCTCAACTCTACAGGGTAAAGATCATCAAATAGTTCTAGTCCGACATTATCCTGATTGTCGTTGGATACATGCTTCTTATCAGACACTTTAGAAATTAAGGTGTCAAACCTGTCGTCCTTATAAACAGATTTGGCCTGTGTATGATCCAGTGGAGATCCTTTAGCCGCAACTGGCTGATATGAAAAGAAAGGTTTTGACTTTTGAGAGCTTCTCCATGTCTCGTCTCCATCATTAGCAAGGGACGTCACTGGATTATCGACAATCTCAGCCTCAGAAATAGAAACAGCCAGTTCACCGGTGACCTGCATGACCTCATCACAGCTGCGATTGATCTCTGCCTCTACTGAAAATCTACCTGATTTTTCATCTGAATTCGGACATCCATTGCGATATTCATGAAGTGCAAGCAAAACAGGAAGAGGAAGAACTGGACCCACAAGGGCATCACCAGGTTGCACTTTCTGTGACCACTTATTACTGCGGCGTGAAGACTTCCTTAAAATGAAAGGAGGCAACTGAGATAGGTCTGGTACTACAGAGAATTCCAAAGCCACCCTATTTTTGTCCACAAGCACTTCAAGGATTTCAGAGTTGTTAGAAAAGGCCAGTTGCAGAAGCTCAATGGGCAAGTCTGACCACAATCTCTTCAAAACAACCTCGTGTATGCTTGCGGGCAAGCTAATGTCATTTAAAACACTTGTAACTGCAGGAGATGATCTAAACTTACCAAAACCACAAGCATGTAACTTTTTGCATAAAGTTTCATGAAACTCTGAGCTAAAAAGTTCCTTCCCTTGATCATTATAGGGAATTTTTATTTTGTCATCTAAGACTTCATTAAGATTACCATTCAGATAACCACAGAGGTAGTCAAGTTTAAGGTACTTAAATCTCCTAGGAAATTTGTATTCCTCATCAACTAGGGAGTACAGCAAATAATCCTTAAAAAGCAAATGTTCTCTGTGTGATTCTTCTACTTTTTTTACAGAATCAAACGATGCACAATATCTCTGTAATTCAAGCTTCCCTGAGGACATAAGCCTTATCAATGTAAAACCACCAAATTCATCTGGTTCAGAAAGCAGAGCAGACAGATCTTTGTTTACAATGCCGAAGCCCAAAACAATTTCTTTCTTCTGCTGCCAATCAATCCATTCAGGAAGAGCGTCTTTTGAAAACTCTTCTTTTACAAGACAGCTTCCGCAATGCCACTCATGGCCTGACAATAAAAGATCTGAAGGGAGCTCCCATGCATAGAAGGATTTCCGAAGTTCTGCTATTTTCGAAGCTACTGATCCTATCGGAGCTGGGAGGGAAGGTCCATAGCAAAAGATACTAAACTCACAATTCCAAAACGACCCCACTATAATGCAAAAACCCGAGTCAGAAGCCCAATTAAATTTGTCATCCCTCGACTGTGACCTCAACTCTGACAGTCTTAAAACATCAACATAGCTTGGTTTATCAAGGCCATGAGCCCATTGCAACACCGGCATCAATGGCTTGCGCACATCACAAACAACTAACAAAGTGTCAGAAACCAAAACAAAGTGAAAATCATCAGAACCTGCCTTCGAAAGCACAAGGAACTGCTCCTTTTCAATGGAGGCATACATATGCAACATCTCAATTTTCATCAAACAACTAACATTACACTCATGGGTCCTCAAATCAACTAAGAAAACTGCATCTGAACGTGCAACTATCAAAACTCTAGGGTGCCAACTGAACTCACAACTCAACCACCTATAATTTCGTGAGCTACCCGAACCATCATCAATATCCCAGGGCACTTTCAATCTGGTCCCATTAAATTTAAAATTTGCATTCAAAGTGTGGGAGGTTTTTAGACGAGAGTCTAAATCAAACAAGAATAAATCACCATTCTCTAACAAGACCACACTCTCTTCCAATAAATGTGGACTCCAACAAGCATGTACAACACAGCAAGTCTTGAAAATCTTACTACCCAAATGAACTAAACTAACCCTACTATCTGAATTTGGACCAAAATCTCCAACCTTTACAATAAACCAATGCACAGAGTACATAGTAGAAGCCAATAAATACCCAATTGTCACACAAGAACCATTACCTCTTAAACTCAAAAACCCAGGAATCGGGTTCACTGAAATCCTCGAAATCCGATAACTAAACCACCGCCTGGAAGCGAAAACCCCTCCGTTTTCATCCACTTTGACATCAAAGGTCGAATCTTTTAACACCAACTGCAAGAACCCAACTTGGTCAGAGTTTTCACCGGTAGGGAAGAATACAACGACGGTGTTAATCTGCGGGCACTGAAGGAATTCAAGACGGTTGTAGAGGAGAGACGAGGAGACGTCGCTTTTGGGGTGGTGCGGGCCCAAGAAGGAGGCTACGGAGGGAACGGAGGAGGGAAGAGGGGCAGAGTCAGGGGGGGAAGTGAGGAGAAAACGAGGGAGAGAGAGATGAGGTAAAGGAGGGAGAGGGGGAAGGAGAGAAGAGGAAGAAGAGAAAAGGAGGGTTGTGGAGTTGGGTTTAGGGTTGAAGATCAGAGGACCCAGGATGGGTTTTAGAGAAGGGTTTGAAAGGAGGAGGGGAGGCTTGAAGACTGAGGAAATTGGGAAGAGAGATTTCCATTCTTCTGTGAAGGTCTGAGACGATCCCATGGCGAGAAGCTAGACGACCCCAAATGCACACAAGGTGCTCGACGAAAGGCCAGCCCGAAGCAAAAAAAAATAAAAAACCCCCCAACTTCAGCAGAAGTGGAACGAGTTGATTAGGAAACCCAAGCAACTGGAAAAGTTGCTTTTAAATCTTCACTACCGCCTCTCTCCTCTCCTTTTCAATATTTTTCGGATATTGTTTTTTTTCTTCCTTTTTTGAGTCAAAGTGAAATCTTTTTGACTAAGTTCAAAGTAAATTCATTTGCTTCGCATTTAAAAAAATAATAATATTCATTTGTTTCACTATCCATTTTTTATTTTTTTTGAAACATAATTTTATATCTATATTTTATTTATGTTACCTATCAATTCAAAATAAATTTTTTTTTAAATTTGCTTAAATGGCAAAATAGTCCTGGTGTTTTTCCTAATAAACTAATTTAGTCCTCGTGTTATCAATTTAGCTAATTTAGTCTATGTATTTATATATGTTAATAAATATGGTCATTTCCTTCAAAATTCTGTTTAAACTGAAAAATATATATATATATAAATTTATTATAAATATTCACATTCAAATAATAATAAAAGCTTAAATTATTAAAAACCATTTTCTTGCGTAAAAAAAAAAGTTAATGAAGCATGCATTAGTCAATTTAGTTTTGTGAACAGTGGCTAGCTAAGTGTGGCTAGATAGGAGAGAGAAAATGAGGCTAGTCGAATCCTTCCAATGTACAACTTTTGAAGTAAAAGTGGGATTTAATTTAGAAAAAAAAATAAATTATTTTAAGTTTATCAAAACTCCAAACTTCGTTCATGCCAATATAGTGATGGAATCTTTGAAATTTTGCCCATATCTATTTGAAATTGTGAGATCAACGACAATCAGTTTTGATATCAGTTGTGATAAGCTGGCACTGAGAGATGATGACTTAGTCATCGTGTGATAAGTTGTGTAGTGAAAAAAAAAATTGACTTGGACATCATGTGATGAGTTTGTATGTAAGATAAATTTAGCCCATCTTATTTTCAAATCCTAGGTCCATCCATACTGGGGTCTATGTTCATATGCAGGGGCGGAGCTAGAATTGTTAAATTAGGGGAACCGAAATAGAAAATATAAGTATATAAAACACCTAAATATTCAATATTTACATGTTTAGAGCTAAATATTTCTAATTAAGTCATATCTAATTTGTTTTAGATGACATTTTAACTTAAATTCTAAGTTGTTTATTACAAATTCTATATATTATATATAATATAATAGAGGAGTGATAAAAATAGGGAGTTTCACTAAAACACCCAAAATGGGGGCTGAAATTATAAAAAAACCAACACCCAAAACACTTTATAAACACACCCAAAACTCATCATTACACACACTCAAAACTCATTTATAAACACACGCAAAAAATATATAATTGTTAATTTTGGGGTTGATTTTGGGTGTGTTTCTATGTTTAAATAGTGCTTGAGTTTTTTTATAAATACATGTCTAGGATTGGGTTTATTTATAAATTTGTAATAAAAATATGGGGGGGCCAGGGCCACCCCAAGTCTAGGAGTGGCTCCGCCATTGTTCATATGGGTGGAGGTGGAAGAGCTTAACCAACTGAGTTATACCTCACTGGCCTTTGAAAAGTATTCTTACTTATTGTCGATATAGCATATTTTAATTCATCTGACATTAACTTGGTTTTTATGTAATGTAAGAAAAACATGGACTCACTAGAATAACGTGTGACTTTATAGTAAGATAGAAGACCTTCAATGGTGTGACAATTTGTAAATTTAAGGTTGCTGTTGTCAAATTTTTTATTTTTATTTTTTTTTATTTATAAAATTAGGGACTAAACTGTTAAAGGATTTATAATACCTTCATTATTTCTACAAAGGAATGGCAAATTTGTAGATTGCATTAATACTCAATATGATATTGGTGTTCTTTACAGGGATGATATATTATACATGCTTGATCAAAGACTTATCTGCAACAGTGCTTTCAGCTGAAATTGGGAGGACAACGAAAAGAAAACTTTCATCTTTTAAGGTTTTCTTGCTCTGCACTGCTCTTCAAAGAGCCAGTCTTCACGGCATCAGATTCAGCCAACTTTGCATACACAGTTGCTTGACTACGCAAATTAGGTGAGTCTGAGGTTCTGAAAGTATCATCCTGTCAAAGATATGTATAAGGAATTCAAGATGATGCAATGTGGGCCATTTATATGAAGAAAAGTATAATTCATACCTTCACCACAGTATTTCTTGACTTCAGCTCCTCCTTGGGCTTCTCAAGTGAAGCGTTGGCCCCTAAAAAGAAAACATATAAACTGGTAGTTGGGAGAGAAGCAAAACATTACTTGGCAGCAATGCATGGTCCTACAATTTACAACCCATTAAACATCAAACCCAGTTCACTTTTTCAGTCAATATTTCCAGTAAAATTATCCAATTTTTGACCTTCGCAAAGAAAAATTCTGAACCAATGCTGACAATGAAAATGCTACAGCTATAACAGCCCAGCTCTCATGGACATCCCACAAAATGTTTGGTTACCCAAACATTTAGGTTCCATCCATGCAGTGCAGAGAGAGAGACCCCCCCAAAAAAAAAAAAAAAAAAAAAAAAAAAAAAAAAAAAAAGCAAAAAAAAAAGAGTATATAGAAAAAAAAGGTGAGGAGGTGCTTTGATTTGATGCTTAACGCATCTCCAATAGTGACACATGCAATACAACTGCACCGCACAGCATGGCATTCATTCAACGTGACTCCAAAGCATATCATCAACTCCAAGCTTGCACTTCACACATAAAAGCACCAAATCGAACCCAAAAAAACCAAAAACACAAACTTAAAACTCCAAGTTTCCAAAACCAATAATGAAAATTGCCTCATCTCAGATTCAAATTCAACAACCTGGGTCTCCCACAACCACCACCACCGCCAACTCACTCTCTATTGAATCCACTGAAGCCTCAGTCCAGAGCCTGACAAGGAGCTGGCATAGAAGGCAACATTGGCACAGGTTTTTTTGGTTTGATAATAATAATTCCACACAATTTCAAGACCTAAATTTAGCCCCATGGAGAACCCACTTGGTCAATTTTCTAGAGTCCACACCAGTCCATGTGATTTCTATCTCCCTCCTCATTGTAGATCTCATCCTCACCATCCTTGAACTCTCCTCATCTTTGCTAACCAAGTGCAACAACTCACCAAACAAGAACAAAAAAACCACACCAGAAATTTGGTACCGTTGGGTGGGCATTGCTATCCTCGCCCTGCTTTCGGCAAAGACGATGGCTCAAGCTGTGGGGCTTGGCATGGGTACGTTTCTCCGGCGGCGTCCCGGTTACGTCATTGACGGCGTCGTTTTTACGGGTGCCCTGGTTTTAGAAGCTTTTTTCGAGAGGAAGGGAGGGGGGCTGCTTGTTGTGGTGAGTTTGTGGCGTGTTGTTAGGGTTGTAGAAAGTGCTTTTGAGTTGAGCGATGAGGCCATTGAAGCGCAGATTCAAAGTGTTGTTTGCCAGTTTGAGATGCTGAAGGAAGAGAACAGGAGACTCGCAGAGACCATTAGTGAGCAGGACAAGATTATCGAGAAGCTCCAGGAAGATTTAGATCAATATTCTACTCGCTAGTCATCACAATTCTTCACCTCATGTTATGATAAACGGTTATCATAGTATAAGGAATTTACCCTTGTTTAAATTATTTGAAAGGATAGGATAATTACGAGCATGTTTTTATAACGGGACGATCCGGATAACACACTCACAACATAATTGCGTTTCGATAATGGGACTAGACACAATTAGATATCTATCTACCAGTTTGGCATTGCTGTGCTGTGAAAATAATCGCTGTCAGATTTGCTGTGAGAGAAATTAGCTGTGAGAGAAAGCAGTTTGGCGTTTGGTAAAATTTTTGTTAAAATTGTTGTTGATATTGATTTTACGCAAAATCAGAAAATGATTGCTGCATAATCATTAAACCCAACACCTCTTCGAAACTGATTCCTGCATAATCAGAAAATGAAAGCACCTCATTAGCTGCTTTCCCTTATAGCTTTCTCTCACATCAATTTTTAACAATAAGTGATTTTTTCGCAGTTTACCAAACGAGTTGGGCTTCTCAAAATTTTTAAAAAATCACTTATCACCCCAAATAAGCAATACCAAGTATATAAACTATCTAATACAGGAAAGGTAAACTAGTTTTACAACCAACTTATAAATTGATACATTTTGGGCCAACATTGTAATTTGTATCATGCAAATTTAGTTTGGCCCAAAATGTATCAATTTCAAAACAATAGCTTATGCTATATTCAGTGATGTTCCAAGTTCCAACTCCAACAACATCCCAACTAGCTGATACTAGATGTTTCATCACTGAGACCACATGTTTGGTCTCCTTCCCTAGAGGAGTATCTTCAAAAGTATCATTCTCCAATTCAAGTTCAAGATTCTCCAATTCAAGACTCTCCAATTCACTCTTCATCTCCTCCTGAATTGGAGAGGAGGGAGAGACATAATATGACACTTCTTCATGAAAAGTCATATCCAAAGTAAGATGCACCCTCTAGGTAGGTGGATGATAGCATTTATAACCCTTATAAGTAGAAGAATAACCAATAAAGACACATCGCAAAACATAAGGATCAAGTTTACTCCGTTGATGAGAATAGACATGAACATAGACAACACACCCAAATAGGCAGCAGACAGAACAACATGCCCCAAAGATGATAGGGAACAGACATATCTAATATAAGTGAGCGGGCAACTTCAAGCAATTGTCGGTTCTTTCTTTCAGACACATCATTTTGTTGAGGAGTAAAAGGGATTGTCCTTTGGTGAATAATACCTTGAGCACGGAAGAAAGATGCTAAAGTATTATTCACATATTTACCTCTGTTTTCTGTTCGGAATGCTTTGACCCGAGCATGAAACTGAGTAGACATCATAGTACAAAACTCTAGAAGAATGGAAGTAACATCATGTTTAATTTTCAGCAAGAAAACCCAAGTGAGTCGGGTACAATCATCAATAAATGTGACGAACCAATGAAATTCATTTGAAGTAACGAGAGCCGGACCTACACATAAGAATGCACTAAATCAAAATGCTTTGCAGCTTTACTGTCACTCAAAGGAAACACACTGCGATGGCTGTTGGCCAAAATACATGTCTCACACTTAAAACTGGACTCATCACAAGAGCGGAATAAAGATGGAAACAGACGCTTAAGGTAGCCAAATGACTGGTGTCCCAAGCAATGATGCCATAATCAAATTTGTTGTTTGTCTTTGACCTGTAACTTTAAACAGTATTAACAACACGATCACGAACTAGTGCAGAAGGCAATGTCAAATAATATAACCCCCTATTTGTTTACCATGTCTAATCATCTCGTGAGTCTTGAGATCCTGAAAAGAGCATTGTGTAGGATAGAAAGTAGCAGAAGCATTAAGTGTATCAAGTAATCGACCAATAGATAACAAGTTGCAATGGATATTGGGAACTAATAACACACAAGACAAGGACAGAGTAGGAATGAGAGAGATAGCGCCCTCACTAATAACTGGAGAGGGCAAGCCATTAGCACTAGTTATGTATGGGTCACAGGTGTTATTAGACAACTCATCAAAAAAAATTAGCATAATAAGTCATATGATCAGAAGCACCAGTGTCAATTATTCAAGTATTGAAGCCCGTACCTGAAATAGAGTCAGAAATACACAAATTTGCAGAATCAGCACCAACAGCAGTAGCAATAGTAGCAACAATGGAGTTAGCACCCATGATTGCAACAGAAACTCAACAGATTACGGCAAAGTATATAACGGAACACAGTAGAGGCACAAATACAGCAGATGCACGAAGACAGCCATGAACACAGTAAAGACACGACCACGGCAGAGTACACAGCGAAACACAGCAAAGGCACAAATACGACAGATGCATGAAGATAGGAATGACACGAACACAGTAGAGGTACAAACACTACAACACAACACACAACCCAGGAGGGCACACACGACATAGGTAGAGAAAAAAATATAGGACTATAACAGGGGTGGGCACAACACACAGGTCACCAAAAAAGTTGGCTCTGATGCCAAGTCAAACAATATGGGTAGAATATTTTCAGGTTTTATTTCATTCTCCAAAAGTATGTATTTATAATACAAGGATGTAACCCTAGTAGGGTCAAACTATGAAATAAGATAAAATCTTAATTACACAATATATGTACAAAAGGAAAGAAATATAGTCCTAATAAACTAGGAAGTAAATCTCCTAATTAAGTTAGGATCTCGCTAACAAAAACAAATGTCAAAGCTTGAGCAAGCAAGCAACAGACTATGGATGAACTGTGATGTAGTTCAAACCTCCTGCGCTATAACTGTACGAAAGTTAAGTAAATGAAATGTGATGGGTCATCCATAGACGTAGCTTGCTATATTATTTTGCAGAGATAGGTAGAAACTCTTCTGCCATCATAATCAAAGCAGGACTTCAATGGATCCACCGCAGTAATGAAAATGATGAGCATAAACTAAGAAGAAGAGAATTGACAACAAATATAGAGCCCCACTGCGGCAGCATCACCCCACATCTTTTCTCTCTCTCTCTCTCTCTCTCTCTCTCTCTCTCTCTCTCTCTCTCTCTCTCTCACTTTGGTTCATGCAAAACCATTAGCTAGGGTATAAATGATTATCATTGCCATGGCTTGTTGGGAAGAAGCTCAACGACAACAGTGGTATGCAATTCGTCAATCTTGCATTTTCTTCTCCGATTATTCTTCGCCTTCAGCTCATGCTTAACTTTAATTTGAGTATATATGTGTTGGATTCAAAGTGATTGTAGTAAAGGAATTTTTAAAATCTTTTTATATATTTTTCTCATCAAGAGTAAGTTTCTTATACCGTGATGTGTTGGAATATTGAGAGCCTTCTCATTCCAGCTTCACCAAATGCATTGCAGGTATATATGTAATATTTGAGTCTAGGATCTAAGATTTCACCAAAATGCATCCTTCCAACAGATTTTACCATGTTGTGTTTTCAGCAAAATTTGCAAAGGTGGAACCACCTCAGAACTTTGAAGTTTAAAACTTGATCAGTTTGCTTTTTTCAGTGCGGAGATAGACATCTTGCAGACAAAACAAAGTAAAATTAAGCCTGAGCAAGCAATTAGCAACAGGCTATTGATTTGCAAAAAGGAGATAATTTTCCAGCACAAGCTAAAACTCTGCTCCTCAGTCCAAGGCGAAAGCTCTGGAATTCTATGATTTTCTTTTTAAGACTATTCAATTGGCATGGCACTGCATGGAGTCATCTTTACTAGCTTCAGTGCTATTAATTATCTGGCTTTAATGGGTTTTATTTGTCCTTCCATAGAATCAGTTGTAATTCATTGTAATATATTCCTCAAGGGAAGCCATTGAACAAACTTGTCCAGCTGCCTCAATAGGTTTGTACCACTTTCTCTTTCTCATCTAGTTTGAAGCTGTTCAGAGAACTTCTTCATCGTCGGACAGATAAGAGTCCGATGGCTGCATGTAATATTGCTTCAGTTCAAATATTCACTCAGTTTATTACACAAAAAATATACTGACATAATATTTTTACCCTTAACTATCAATTCTTCTCACCCGAAACAAGCGAAATCTTCTGTACAAAAATTCCGGAAAAAGAACATCTACATTCAGCTCAAATAATATATAATGGCTCCTATATTGTCCTACACCCCAACTTCTTATCAGCCCTCTATCTACATTCAGCCTAGAAAGTCCAGCGACAGAAGTTCAAGTCAATCACCTATACCTAAGGAATTTTCTGCTCCTAAACATCTGTACCTTGAACCGTTTTTCGTTTTTTGTTTCCTTCTTTTTCCTACGGCAGGGTACTATTACAAGCAAAATCAATTGACCAAAAATAATTGAAGTTTGGTTTCTAAGCTGCTTTACAAATAGTAGAGATAATCAGAAAAAATTGAGAGACTTTATGCCTGCTAACTAGATGTAAAATTTGGTGTCCTATTGCATCATATGACAGATATGTTGAGAATCACCAATAGTATTGAGATCGATTGATCGCCTTCTCCTTCCAGCTTCACTATATCAAAAGAAAGGCAACCAAAGCCTTCAAGCCCTCCCGGGGGTTAACAACAATTATTATTCTCAGTTTTTTGAGTTCTCTACCGCGAGCTTTCTCTAACAAAGCCTTCAAGCCCTCCCATGTCCACTGGAAAAAGGCAGAAGAAGTTTTGCAATCTGCTTGTATAACTTTTTCTATGTTTTTCACACTAGAATTTTTCTCATATCTATAACTGTTTCCTGATGTGTTGGGTATCAATAGTATTGAAATGGCCTTCTTCCAGCTTCTTCACCATATGTATATATCTGTTAATTGAGTCTAGGATCAAATAAGATCATCAGTTACCAAATGCAGACACAGATACTGCGCAATATGTGCAGAGGAGGAACCATATATGTCAGAAGAAGTTTAGAGATAAACTGTGATCGTCGCTTCAGCAGAGAGAAGATCAAACGCTGTGTTCGAGCCATCTTTTCACGGATGAAGGGAAACTTACTGATTCAACTAAAGAAACATAAGATCTAAAAACAAATGCCAAAGCCTGATGAGCAAGCAAGCAACAGGCTAGAGAGATATTACAAAGAGACAGAGGAAACAACCACCTGCCGCCAGAAACACAACAGCAAATTAAACACAGGAAAACAAGAAGACAAGTCTGAAAAAGGACTTCCATAATCATGTACAGGAGATAATTTTCTTGTAGAAGAAATGAAGGCTCTGCTTCTCAAGCCATAAAAGGAGTTTGATATGTCCTCCGCGAGAGAGAAAAGCTCAAGGTGAAGTCAGGACAGTTTGTTTTTGTTTTTTTTTCATTTTGGTCAATAAACGCAGGACAGTTAGGCCACCCATTTTTTGATTTCTCAAATTTAGTTGACGGTTAAATTTGGTCAAAGCTTAAATGTATTCTATTCTGCCTTCCAAAACAGAACGCTCAAACTCCATAACCTAAAAACTACATGCCCTTCAGCCTCGCACCCAAGTATCAGATTTTCTCTGTTTTATTTTATTGAAGGAGAAAGAAAGAAAACAACAAATCTCCAAACAAAAATAGAAAGGAAAATAACTAGAGGTGCCTCTTCGATTTCCTTCTTCTTCTTCTTCTTTTTCTCTCTCTCTCTCTCAAAGTCACGAGAAACAATCTACAGCTCATTCAAGTTTCTCTTCACATCTATAAAATTCTTCAGATTTTGAAAAAAAAACATTTTTTTTTTTTTTTTTTTTTCTTCTTCTTGCGTTCTTTTTAAGCTACACAACCTTTTCATCCCAAACTCTTCTAAGCTTGAACACACTTCCCTTTTCCTCTGTAATTCGCAACGCTTTCTCTTTCTTATTTCATTCTTTTGAGAACTTGCAGACTGTTGGAATTTCATTTTCATTTTCTGATATTCTTGTGTTCTTTTCAACCTTTGGTCAACCCACCAGCTGAAACTCGGGCTTTCTTTCTGTTCTCCAACCCTCGTTTCTCTGGGTGAAGGGCTTTTGGTTTCCATTGATTGCCCATAATTTTGTTCTTCATTCTTGTTCCATATTGATGCAGTGCCCATAATTTCAACTGGGTTTGTCTTCCTTTTCATTTTTAGCCATTGATTAATTTCTGCGGTCTACCCTATGCTGCCTCAGCAGAAAAACCCAGCTGGGGTTTCCCAATCTATGCATCAGCAAACAACTTCAAATAACAATCTTGAGGAACCAGATAAAAGACCCTTCTCTATAAGGTGATTGATCTTCGCATATATAATATATTTGGGAGAGAGTGTTTTTTCTTGTCTTTTTTATATATCTTCATTTCTAGTTCTTTTCAGATTCTATTTCATAATTTTATTTGATTTGTATTTTTTTTTTTTTTTGTTTGAGTGGAAATGCATGTTTCTGTATTTTGTTTTCAATTTTGTTCCATTAATTTGAAATACAGAATACTGTTTCTTTAATAGAACCGTGCAGTTTTTGTTCTTTCTGTTTTGGGGGTTTTCAGAAGAACAAGTTTGGAGTAAACTAAATTTCCAGGTTATGAACAAATTTCGGTTCTCCCTAATTTATGAGGCCTTGCTCTTTTATTTATCAGTACTGTGAGTGAGTTTCATGTTTATTTCCATTCGTATATATCTGATTTCCTGTATTCAATTTTTCCTTTGTTTCCTTTTGTGCAATAGTATCATGCATGTTCATTTTATGTTGAAGATTGAGTTGCACTACATTCAACTTAAAGTTTTTTGCTCCAAAAATCAACTAGCCTCTCATTTATAACTGTTTCTATTTGCAGACAGTATGTTCTTGCTTGTCGTCAGAAAGATGTCCTTTCTAACTGGCCATTTCCAGAAAAATACTTGCAAATTTGTCTCAATTACGGTATTAGTGATGTGTTGCCGCCCCTTGAATCCCATAATTCAGCCATCCAATCACTCAGAGGAGCTGTAGGTTTGAATTGTACTCAACAAGATGATGAGAATGTTGATTACTCCAAAGACAAAGAACCAGATACCATTGAGCAGGAGATTGAAGATGAGTGTAAATTATACTGACTCTGAGGAAGCAGTATCGGCACTTTCAATCCAACATTGCCATTTATCTCCTTCAAATAGCAGTCATAAGCATGAAGAAAACAAGACTGGCTTCAGTCCTACCATGCTTCCAATATTATGGTTTCAACAGATCAACCTTCAACACCTTCGACTACAATACCAAGTTCACACCTTCGACTACAATACCAAGTTCACACCTTAATGTTACTCAGTGTAATAAAACATTGACTTCTTCTACGAAGCCGAGGTGTATGAAAAAACAACACAAGGGTAAGCATAAGAAGCGGTCAATGGCGAGTATTTTATCTGTAGCCAAGCCTTGTACATCAGAGGATCTCCTTAGAATTAAAAGATTGTGCTGTGTTTCGAGCGCACCTCTTGAGCAGGGCGGTGAAGGAATTGAGAATATGATCGATGTTAGGCATGATTGCAATTCTGATCTAACCAAGGATTTCTCGAGTGAAAAGCTTGAAAGAGATGATAGTGAAGAAGCCAAGCTCAGTATGCTGTCCAGACAAAAAATTGTTGTGGAGTTCAAGTTTAGCAGTTGCAAATCCGATGTCTGAAGCAAAAATTAATTAAACTTGCAGATTATATATGGGGTACAGCCTCAGCTTCATTATCTTTCTCGTATAATTGATTGTATTTGCCCCATGTTTTATACATTTTAGTTACAATTAATTTGATAGCACCTGTTCATACGCATAGAGATAGAGTTTATGTTTAAAATGATCTGAAACGACGACTGTCTTTGATTTTGACATTTCATTTTAATATCTGTATTCCTAGATTGTTAATAATAAAACGAACACAGATAAGTATTCTCAGAGCATGTACATTTGCTAGTTTCCCCTATGAACTTTAACCAAAATATTCTTCTCAACTTCTTTATCAGGCTTCAGACAATGTTTATTAGCTCTGCTGCAAGTTATGCTCTGTGTCAACCTACTGCTTTCTCCTTCATGGCAGGTCATTATGTAAGAAGTTGAGGATTTTTTTCAGATGCAGCATAAATTCTTGAATCTTATGGTATAGTTTATGCAAAAATTCCAGCACTAGAAGCTTCCCAGTTGGTTTGGCATTATTCACTCAATGTGGAATGAAGATAGGGTTGTTCAAGATATGAAGGTCATGAGGGACAGTAGGGATGCATCCGGTTCTTTATTTCAAACCATACCCAAGCTAAGGAAGCGCATATGGTCTATTATCATGCTCAACATATTGCTATGTGATGTCAACTTATTCATTGCAGAATTTTTGTGGAGCCACCATGGTTTCAATGTGCGTTTGGCTGAAATTGTCTTTCATTTTGAAGCTCTCTCTGCTGAGCACAATGATGGGTACTTGGAAAGAGGTCAGCTTCATGGGCTATCTGGTACAGTCACAATCGTGGGATGCATGGGATTGAGATCCCTGAGTTGTCATCGTCTTTTAACATGTCATTATCTTTGCTTGATGAATACGAGGAGTGAATGCACTTTTGGTGATGTCAAAGACCCAAACATGCTCGTTTGAAATGTCCTCATGTGGCTCGACCAAAACTCAATGTAGATTGTTCTTCAAAACCAGATTTGAGGTGCTACTGTTGGGAATGACAAAGACAAAGTGATGGTGATGATGACACTTTGGGCGGCATTTCCAGAAAGAGATTCTGGCAATTTCATGTGAGTTGAAGCTTGAACTGGATTCGGGGTTCTGTTCGATTATAGTAGAGCCCACATCAGAAATTTGAGGATGATGCATACGTAGCTAATGATGGAAGGCATATAGCTACTGTCTCAGTTTCTTTTCTTTTCTTGTGACTATATTCCTAGAGGTTGTATTAGGGTCGCTCAATCTGTCACCTTACTCCTTGGCTATAAGTTTCTTTACAATCAGATATTGATGTACGTACCCATTTCATATTATTAATTGACATTGAGAATCTTTGGAGATTGACCAGACAATAAATAAATAAAATATAAGAGCTTCCCAGTTAATGAGGCCTGCACTTGATTATAGTTTTTGTTAGAATACAACTCAATGGAATATTGATTTCCTAAATATATAACCCCTCAAGCACTAGTGGCTGCTCTTAGTTTTCCAAAAACTTCTCTTAACAGTAAGAGAATATGATAGTAATATTTCCAAAATCATCACCAGAAATGTTGGATAAATTTATTTTCTATTTTCTTGGTTGCTTAGTTACTAGAATAGGTTAAATTTTGGTTTTCCCTTGCATCACACGACATAGATTGTTGAGAATCATCATCGTTCAAAAGATTCATATACTATAGTTAATTTGTAGGAACGATATCTGCTATAAATTCTTAAATCACCCAAATTAGAGGAAAAGTCGAATAATTTTCGAGTAAACGTGCATGTAGGTGTAGCAGTTCTCACTGTCAACCATTTATATATGCGAATACGTTCAGGGAGAAGTGCATTTAGATGTCAACATGAGTAGGATACACCAACATATCAAGTAATTCTTCAATCTAACGGTCAGACTATAGAACTTCTCCAACTTATCTGTAGGATGACTAAAAATGTCTGGATGATGGTGAATATACCAATTTAAGATTGTAATCAACAAACACAAAATAAACTTCGGCAACATGATTGATATGGTTTATCAATCTTGAAACGTGTTGAACATAAAATAAAGGAATACGCAGATAATTATTTTACGTGGTAAAACCCCATCTCTGGGGAAAATCTATGGGACTCCTCAGTCCAACACAAATACACTATAGAACGATGATTACAAGAAGTACTCACACACTTATCCTAGACACATTCTAGATAATGTTTACCGACTTCTTTGTAACTCAACTTCTATCACGGGATGATCTTCGACACTCATTATGTTAAATGCAATACTGGTCACGATTGCTTCAAACTTACCGGAGGAAAACCACCACCACGGTCTTGGTGCCCTCAACCGTATGAGTCACCGACATGCATATGAATACAATATGAATGATGAAAGTATATGTTAAATCACCAAGTAAACAAGGAACACTTGATGACTTATAAGATATGCACAACAGCTTTTCTTAAGAATTCTATATGCTCCAAAAACAATATGTCAAAAGCTTGCCCTTTGAAAAGAAAACACCTTGGTTTTATTCAAGACCGGTTTTCTCTCAAAAGAGAGAAACCCAAGAGTCCATTACTTCTATTCAAATAAGACTACCAAACCTGATGCAAAAGGGTCTCTTCATTGAGACGCCAAAATAGCAGTAAAAAAAACTATCCAATTATAAATATAAATTCTGATTCAATAAGGACCTTTAGTGATGACACCAAACAACCACTTTTATAAATAAACAATTATCTCTTAAAACAAGTTAATTATGAGATAAGCATGGCACGTCATTGTAGGAAACGCTAATATTTTAACTTAAATCACAATGGCATTAAAAATAACTTCAACTATAAATCCTTTTTGAATGCATGATTATGTCATGATTTACCTGAAGTCAAGTTTCTCATATTAGTCAAGTCATGCCTCGGAAGTATGGGGTTGAATGAGTTGTGCCAAAATGTCCGGTAACAATTCTTCACACACTAATTTTCAACTTATGCTAGAGTCTAGGAAATGACAACACAATTTTCATACTAACACAAGAGATTAAATAATAGATGCAGCACTCTCAACTACATCTATAGTGATGAATTTTTGGCTGATGGTTTGGCTAGTCTTAGCCTTTCGATAAATATTGGTCCTTATTATGAGATCTCGAGCCTCTACATTTAGCATATGTACATTTATACGCATTTAGAGCAATCTCAATCATTTGGTTAATCTAATGAAGTTTAATTAGTCCACGTCATCAAAATTATATTATATTAAAAACTCACTATTTTGTACCCTATCATTTTCCCCTTGCCCATCTTTAATGAGATCAAATTTATTTTTATTTTAGTGTTAATCAATACCCTCGACTTGCAAACACGCAGTGCTCATGCTCGCCATTTCTCTTATTATTCAACTTCAACCCTCTATTCACCTATTTTGTGATCATTCCTGTGGTGGAAGGGCAAAGTTCCCCATTGCCTTATGAACCATTGAGTGGTCAGCAAGTCAGCTTTCTTTGGTGTATAAGCGTGCCACTGCTAGCAATGAAGATTCTAGCAGACTTATTCTAGAATAGATAACTTGCGCTCCAAATTACTGATTTCCATAAACAATGAATTTGGGTGAGGAATATCTCCCAAGTAAGTGCTTTTCTTGCCTCAAACTAGTGAGGACTTTAACAATTTATCTCAGTATAAAGAGGTTGTTCTGGCCAGAATGGTTGATGAAATTTAAGTTGTCTTAGGCAGAACTGTTTTTTACAAAACTATAAACATAAATATCCAAGCTAGAAAGAAGAAAGGACAGTTGGAACTCCATTTCTGCCTGGATAGGAGGTTCTGATCCGGGCTGTACTGGAAATATTTGGGCTGGACTGGACTATTAACAACTTTAGCTGCTAAGCTTCAGCTGTAGATCGATACCAAAGGTTAATTTTGGCAGAGCTTTAATACACTTCAAGCTTTTGTAAGGCTTCTGAGTGGGCAGAACTGCGGCTTCTTCAGTCTGTAAGGGCAGAAGTGGCTGTTCTCAAGGACTTTAGTGGGCTAGAGATTGCACTGTAAAATTTGTTGAGGTTTTCATGTTTGGGAAAAGCTCAAGCTCTACCTGTCTTGGTTTTTTGCTGAACCAAATTTGTAATGAGAGAAATCTCGTTTTGAATGACTTATTTTCTAAGTCCGAACCTTGGGAATTCTGATCTAAAGTTGGTTTTCACTTGGAATTCAAGTGAGCTTCTGGTTGATTTTGAGTTGTTTATTTGATTGATGATTGAATGTTGGATTGATTGTCGTTGCCCTGTTTACTCCTTCTTGTATTTATAAGAGATGTTATCTGGAGTAGGGTAATTCTTTTAAATAATGGGCGGTAATTTTCTTTAAAAATATCTTTCATTTTTAATTGTAAAGAAAGGGGGTTTTGATCAATTTCTGGTAGATAAGCTCTCAATAGTCAGTTCTTAAGATCACTTCCCTATATTTTTCAAACTGTGATGGTTAGTTTGATCTTCCATTTGAACAACTCCCTGTCCTCCTGCTTATCTCCTTTTGAGAACATGGTCTGCTTATCTCTTGGGAGAATCACCCTCTTTGGAGAAAAAAATATTATTTCCAAATATGTAAAAAAGGATCTGATCTTCTGATGGCAGAGATTCAGAGAAGTCTTCTCCTAGCCATCTGCTTTTGTTAATCCCAGTTGAAAATATTGACTTTTCTAAGTCAGAAACATTACGTGGGTCTGTTCCTGTTTTGGTTTTCTTTCTTTTAATAATGGCAAACCCAAATTCGAGTTGAACCATGAACTGATTCCTTTCTTTTCTCTATTTCTCAGAGGCCTAGGTTTTGCGTTCTTAGATACCTCCTGAGTTGGGCTTCTTTTAGATGTGGGCCCTTGATTATAATTTGGGTCCTGAACTGTTTGGTTTTGTTTTTGTCTCATCCTTATGGGCCTCCAATGCTGGGCTGAGTGTGTGTTTTGGCCCAATTTCAGGGAATGCAGGTGGCTGTCCAAAAATTGTCATGGGCTTTTGTTTTCCTTGGGCTCTGTGTCAAATTAGGCCCAAACACCCTCTTGTAATTTATTTTATATATTTTCTAGATTTAGTCTCTGCACATTCAACTTGCAATAACTTTTGGCTGCTTTTGACCGTATCTAAGCTTATTTTATGTAGATACGATCAAAAGACTAAAAGCGGCCGAATACATAAAATAAGCCAATACTTAAAAAAGGAGAGTGATAAGCCGTAGGAGGATTTTCTCATAGGTTACAATTCAAATCTAGAAGGAATTATGCTAGCTTGATGGTGAACCGAAGTTATTGTGGGAGATCTCAAGATGAAAGGAAAATCAAATCAAATATTATTATTCAAATAAAATCACATGCATGAGACAAGGAATTGAAGAAATTTTGGAGCAATTATGATTGATTTGAAGGCCTATTGACGACCGACCAAATTGAGATGCACCGAAGCCCCTATAAATACCAAGCTTATGGAAGAGAAAAAGGGCGCCTGACACAACATACAACTTGTCATTTTATATTCTCTTCAATTTCTGTCCTAGGAGTAGCATAATGTAGCCATAGCCTAGTCTTATTTTTTCCACTCTAGTTTTCGTAGATTTCAATTATGTCTTTACATTCTTGTTCTTGTTTTTTCAACACTATTTTAATTGCAGTTCTTCCAATTCATGTCTTTGCTTAATCTTTACTGTACTTCGTAATATAGTTTACTTTTCGCACTTTACTTTAAGCACTCGCATTTCAATCATTTAATTTCTGCAATTCACATTACGCACTCGTCTTTACATTCTTTATTTCATGCACTTTAAATTACGCACTTGTCTTTAAATTATTTATTTTATGCAATTTACATTACACACTCGTCCTTACATTCTTTATTTTACGCACTTTAAATTACACACTCGTCTTTAAATTATTTATTTTACGCACTTTACTTTCCACACTTATCTTTCCATTATATTTAAATTCAAGCACCTTTTACTTTATGCACGTGTTCTTCATTTCATTACATTTCACCTTCAATCTTCATCTCCACCCACTCCACATCATTTGGTTGCTCACATAAAGCCTTGACTCTGAGGTGGTGAAAGAACCTAGGCCATGAGGAGGTTCCTTATTTGGCCAAATAATCGTTTGATTAAAGTCAGATGAGTGGTGGCACGCCCCGCACTCAATTAAAAAAGGACCAAAAACTCCTTCAATCGGCCTACATGGCCAAAAATAGGGAAACATAATTTGGCACGCCCAGTAGGACACACCATATGAGTGATCAAAATCAATGGAATTATTCCTACCAGCCGAGGAGCTATAACGGCTATAATTCTTATGGCTCGAGTAGCAAATCTACCAGCCAATTTGGTAACCGCAACCAAAATGGCCAATATAATTGTACACATCAAGGTTACAACTCTACATATCAATATGGCTCTAGTGGCCAATTCAATGGCTAGCATGGCGGAAACAACAATCATGGCCAAAATAACATGATGTATCAAAATTATTCGAATGGCCAACATGGCTATAATGGCCAGTACAATCAAGTGGCCAGAGGACAATGTACTTACCCATATGGCCAAAATAATTCGGTCAATATTTATAATCAGCCTAGTTATGGCTTCCACCAAGCGAATCATATATTTGGCTATAACGACCAAAATAATATTAACATTGTGAGAGGCCATATGTTGACCGCATGGACAAAGAACATCAAAATTTCATAAAGGTAACATCTAAAGTGAAAGATGTATTTATGGAGATGGCGGATAGGTTTTATGCTTCTAACGAAATTTTGATCCAAGGTTTTCATGAGATCACCTCGCAACTTGCTGTCAAAAAGAAAACTCTTACTCACAATCTTAAATTTCAACCACAGCAAGAAAACCATCAAGTTACTGCAGTACGGTCACTCATTCTACCTACCTATGTGGAGGGAAAGGAGGTTGGCCGACAATATATGAAGGAAAAGGATGTGGATGAATCGGCCTTGGAATTCAATACTCCGACCCATTTACCTTTTGAAAACCTCACATTGGTTGAAGAAGAGAAAAATCTTGGTATAGTTGCAGTCTGGCCATCCATTTTATCAACTTTTCTAAATGAAAATGAAGTTAATCGGGAATATGTGAATGAGAGAGAAGTGGACAAGTTGGTCTTAGAGGGGAAAACTCAAATTAACTTTCCTATTGAAACTCTCACGTTGGTTGAGGAAGAAAAATCCACCCAAGAGAATGCGATCCAACAAGCTGTCAAGGTTGAACACCAAATGACCCAACTTGAGACATCCATCCTTGAAATTAATGACCAACAAGATCAAAAAGAGAAATGTTTGAACACGACCCAACTTGAAGCAACGGATGTAATTAGACCACAATTAGAAATGGTCAAGTTTATCAGACCCCAACAGAAGGCCAAGTCTGGCCAATCAAGCGGACTTGGGGGCAAGGAAATTCGGCCAGCACAAAAGGAAAAAAACAGTTTTGGTTGTTCCAAGGTGACTTGTACACCAATTTACAGCTTGCGCAATTGATGGGTGGCCACCCCCTTGGTCTCCATAAAAATATTATGTTCAATAGCCGCTACCTAAATAAGTAGGCCGACAACGTTCCCAATAAAGGTCATGTTAGTATTATGGCCAAAAATGATAATAATAATAATAAAGAACTTGTTAGTGATTTGAGCACTACAAAAAGTTCACAGACAAAAGCGGCCGAATAGCGTCGACCGTCAAAGATTTCTTCTCAATACAAGAACGGCCAAACCACAGTCTATTATTTTAGCTGCAAATTATTTTTGTGAAAAAAATACATGCAAAAGTGTTAAGTCAAGATTACGACCTATGCATAGAAGCAAAATATATGGATGAAGGCTGATACTACTTTCTTCAAAAACAAGAAATATAGTCTTATCCAAAGCCAAAATTGAAGGCCGAAATTTATTGATAGAAATCAAAAGTTCATCAATTAAAAAAAAAGAAAAAAAAGTAAGGTGCATTTACTTTCTTATTTGAACCAAAAGGAGGTTGATCATATTAATTGGGGGGAACTACCCATAAAATATCTTGCCGTAATTATAGCCAATTATTATGGCTAATTTTCTTTAGTGTGTTAAATATATAAAAATATGGTGTGGTTACATTCCTAGTGAGAATGGTTCAAATAAGAGACACAACATGTTTGGCAAGAGGACCAATCAACGATTTGCTAGTTCTAAAAAATTTAGTAATAAAATTGGGCCGATTAATAACGGCCATAAAAGACAATATTTGTGATCAAAGAATAAATAGTGTAGCTGCATGAAAATAGTTCATTAAACTTTCACAGCCAGATTGCTTTGCCAATAATACGGAAATAATAGTTTAAAGTTCAAGATCGTCTAGAGGCCGATATAAGAGTAAAATCTTGAACCAGCCGTGTGTTTGTAGAAAGAATTAAATTTAAGTTTTCATAAACTTAGCTTGCGGCAAAATTCATAAAAACTGGGGGGGCAATGTTTGGGCCTGGTTGAAATTTGACCGAGTCAAGCCTAAGATCCGAAAATTAAATTAACATTGAGCCCAACCAATGGGCCTAATCAATAAGGTCGGATAGAAGCCTAAAATCATAAATGTAGTAGAATATCTACATGTGGCAAAATACACCAATCTGGTCGAACACATCAATATGGCCGAGAGCATAAAAGTGGTCGAGAGCCTATATGCGGCCGAAAGTGTAGATATGGTCGAAAGACTAAAAGCAGCCGAAAGTGTAGATACAGTCGAAAGACTAAAAGCGGCCGAATACATAAAATCAGCCAATGCTTAAATAAGGAGAGAGATAAGCTGTAGGAGGATTTTCTCATAGGTTACCATTGAAATATAGAAGGATTTATGCCAGCTTGATGGTCAATCGAAGTTATTATGGGAGAGCTCAAGATGGAAGGAAAATCAAATAAAATATTATTATTCACATTAAATCACATGCATGAGACAAGGGATTGAAGACATTTTGGAGCAATTAGGTCATCCCCAATGGTTGGGGCTCTAAAAAGGGTTTATAGAGCCCCATTTAGAGCTCGGATGGAATCTTTGGGACTCTAAAGGAATCTCTCCCACAATGGGAGGCCCTATATTTATGGCGAACTCTATATTTTTTCATGATGTAATTTGATTTACGTGGTTTTTTTTGTTTTTGGTTAACTATTTTACTTTAATGTTTGTTCATGTTATGTTAGTTTTTTTTTGTGAACATTTCAACCAAAAAAAATCAAAATTTGGACAAGATTTGGAAATCAACATTTTATTTCATAGATAAGATACAACATGGTTAAATTAAAACAAGATGCACAAAATTAATTTGGTGGTCCTCCCAAAGTTGGATATGGGTCCCTTGCATTATGGCTTTCCACCCCTCTCTTATCTACATTGTCAGATAATAATTGTGGTAGCATGGTGATATCTGGATATAGGTCCCTTTCATTATGGCCTTCCATCCCTATGTCATTTACATTTGTCAGATAATAATAGTGGAAGATGGATGTGGATCCCATTCGTTATGGCTTCAGATAAAAAATCTAATCTCTTCATATTACATCTTACAATAACCGTTGGATCAAATTACCTCATATGAATCTCGTCCGTATATTTGTTATCTCTTAAACCATCACATCCTCTATAAATGAACAACCACCTTATTTTCATAACACACCACTTCCCAACTCTTGTATTCTCAATATTCATTCTTCTACCACCACACCAGAATGCCCAACAATGGATATGATAGCTCTTCTAGTGATGAGACAGGTGCCAACATAATGTTTTTGAAAATGTTCGAAAGCTACCGAAGGAAAAAAACTAGCGAAGAAGGAGGAGACCTCGATGGTTGTCCATAGGGGTACATGATCATGACGACGTACTATACCAAGAGATCGAGTAAGTGCCCATGAAAACCTTTTTCAAAATTACTTCTCTAACCATCCGTTGTATCCCCTTTCAGATTTTTGTAATAGATTTCGCATGAGGCGTGAGTTGTTTAATCGAATAATGGAACAAATTGTCCCTTCGACGATTACTTCAAACAAAAACCTGATGCCACTGGAAAGCTTGGTTTCTCACCACAAGTGAAGATCACAGCTGCCATGCGTATGCTTGCATATGGTACGACAGCTAACCTTAATGATGATTACTTGAAGATAGTAGAGACCACATCCTTTGAAGCTTGCAAGAGATTCTATCATGCAGTCAACAACTTATACGGAGCTGAATATCTTCATAAACCAACGAGGGCGAACCTACAAAAACTGCTCCAAAAAGCTGAGGAACAAGGGTTTCCTAGCATGCTAGGAAGCCTTGACTGCATGCATTGGGAGTGGAAAAACTGCCCAATGTCACACCATGGGGCACACATGGGCCACCATGGTCGTCCAACCATAATCCTTTAAGCAGTTGCTTCTTACGACACATGGATCTAGCACGCCAACTTCGAAATGTCGAGAGTATATAATGACCTCAATGTACCATACAAGTCACCCCTTTTTGATGACGTCATTCAAGGACGTGTCTGCGGGTCCGATATTATCTGAATAGGAAACAATACAAGCAAGGTTACTATCTTGCAGATGGAATATATCCAAAGTGGAACACAATTGTCCAGTCATTTTCGAATCCTCAAGGACGACAACATCAATTATTCTCTATGATACAAGAGGCGTATCGTAAGGATGTGGAGAGAGCTTTTGGAATTCTTCAAGCTCGTTTTGCAGTTGTAGCGAGGTCTGCCTGCCAATGGTACCGAGAAGACATTTGGGAGGTACTGAAGACTTGCATAATTCTTCACAATATGATTATTGAAGATGAGCGTGACCAAGACGACATAACTCCTGCTGAGAACACACCATATCATGTGGAGGAGGCTCTGGTACCGCATGAACATGGATCACGCAATATACAGTTAGAATCTATTAATCGAAGCATAATAAATGATCCAACTATCCACTACAACCTTCGATTTGATATCATTCAACACTTGTTGGAGCAATATAACATAACTTTAATTCTTGTCTTTTTAAATTTAACGTTGTGTGTTTAGAATTCAATAACTAAATTGTAATGTCCTTGCAATTTAGAGTTGTGTGTTTAGAATTCAATAACTAAATTGCAGTGTTCTTGAATTCAATCATTTCATTAAGTTAAACAAACTAGAACACATTTTTAAAATAATAAAACAAAGTACAATGGAATTTAAATAATAAAACAAAGTACAACGGAATTTAGATAAAACAAACTATATATTCTTTAAATAAAACAAATTATTAAACTATTCTAGAAATCATCATCTTTTGGGGTTGGGGACGATAGACTTCATCCTCAAAATTTAGCGAACGGGAAGAACTCTTCGCAATAATATCAGCTTGAATCTGTTGGTCCCATCGCCTTCTCGCCGGAGTTTGGATTGTGGCGGTTTCTTTAAACATAACCTTCAACTCTTTGTTCTCAATCATACAATCTTTTTAAGACCTCATAATTTCTTTGAGCTCTTTATCATCTTGAGACGACTCTTCCACAACAGCCTTTCTTTTTAGCTCCTTAGCTTTTTTTGTGTCCCATAGGCCTTCGTCGTGGGTTTGAGGTTTGTTGGGGCGCTTGAGTTTCTGGAATGGATTCATATGGTGAATCATCATCTACATAAATAGATTCACTCATTGGAGAAACGTTCACAGAGGGGGAGGATTGAAACCCTTCAAAGGGTTGTCTGTTGAACAACATTCCAACAGTGGTCAAGGAGGAATGCTTTCTTGGTCCTCTGGAAAAAAAGTCGTTTTGCACCAATAATCAACACATATTATATGCAAGAATTTAAATTAGTTGACAAAATATTAAGTTGGAAAAATAAAATTAAAAATTAAAAAACTCACACTGTCAATTTCATTTTGGACACTCTTGTTCAACCTTGCCACTTGAGTAAGACACTCAGAGAATTTGTTGCACATTTGGGAGATGTTTGTCCAACGCGATTTCAAGCTCTGTGATGATCTAACTTCTTGGGCATCGGGATGAAATTGTATGAATTGATCTCATATCCGATTCCACATCGTGCCATTTGATTGACAATTCTCGATAATTGGATCTTCACTAATGATTATCCAAGCTCGGCATAGAGCAACATCTTCATCGATGGAGTAATTTGTACCTTTTTGCTTCAAACTTTCGGCCATTAGTGGAAAAGAGATTAACAAAAAAATTACAAAAAATTAAATAATCTAGTGAGTGAAAAGATTTGACAAATTGATCAAGAGTGATAAAGATGTTTTGGTGTGTAAAAATTATGAGAGATATGATGGATATTTATAGCTGTTTACAATATAGGTGTTTACACAGCTTTTGAAAATTTGGTTTAGCATGCTGTTGACAAAACAAATAAATGGCAAGTATGGCCTTGTACAATCGCAGGCAAGTGAGAGACCAAAAAAGTGGGCTGCATCTTTTTTAATTTGCGGGACCCGCGCGGTTTCAAGGGCTTCAACCAAGCTCATACATTTAGCTACTACTCCGGTTGGGCTTCAAGTTTTAGAGCCCCAAATTTGCACTATTAAGGATGCCTTTTTAAGGAGAGTTTGTATTTATGGGAGCCTTGTGGTGGTTGAGCCCCAAATAGAGCCCCCATTAAGGATGGCCTTATGATTGATTTGAAGGCCAACTGACAACCGACTAAATTGAGACGCACCGAAGCCCCAATAAATACCAAGCTGATGGAAGAGAGAAAAGACTCCCGACACAACACACAACCTATCATTTTACATTCTCTTCAATTTCTATCCTAGGAGTAGCGTAAGGTAGCCATAGCCTAGTTCTTATTTTTCCCGCTCTAGTTTCCATAGATTTCAATTATGTCATTACATTCTTATTCTTGTTTTTTCAATTCTATTTTAATTGCAGTTCTTTCAATTTATGTCTTCGCTTAATCTTTACTGTTCTTCGTAATCTAGTTTACTTTTCACACTTTACTTTAAGCACTTGCATTTCAATTATTTATTTTCTGCAATTCACATTACGCACTCGTCTTTACATTCTTTATTTCATGCACTTTAAATTACGCACTTGTCTTTACATTCTTTATTTTATGCAATTTACATTACGCACTCGTCCTTACATTCTTTATTTTACGCACTTTAAATTACGCACTCATCTTTAAATTATTTATTTTATGCACTTTACTTTCCGTACTTATCTTTCCATTATATTTAAATTCAAGCACCTTTTACTTTACGCACGTGATCTTCGTTTCATTACATTTCTCCTTCAATCTTCATCCACTCCACATCATTTGGTTGCTCAGACTCTGAGGTAGTGAAAGAAACTAGCTGTGAGGAGTCCCTTGCTGAGCCGAACAATCATTTGATTAAAGTCAGATTTCGGACGCATCATCTACTCACATTCCATCCACGCCTAATTCGTGGTTTGGTGGTGGCACGCCCCGCACTCAATTAAAGAAGGACCAAAAACTGCTTCAATCGGCCTACGTGGCCAAAAAGAGGGAAACATAATTTGGCACGCCCAGTGGGACACACAAAAGAGAATCACATACTCACAACATTATAATTCAGAAAAGAAAAAAAAACGAATAAAATAAAAAAGAGAAAGGGGCCAACAGAGATTGAATTAATCAATTAGTTGAAATTTCTCTAAATACGTATAAATGCACGAATGCTAAATATAGAGGCTCAATTTTTATCAAGCAAATGTTTGGGGGTGGTGAAAATTCACCCAACCCTGGCACCTTTCGAAAACACAAGCTCAGGGTGTGAAAAATGGCGGCTGAATTCGAGAAGATGGCCAGATGCGAGAATTGATTCCGGGCATGAAGTTTGGCGGTCGGGCTTGAGAAGTTTGGCGGGTAGGCTTGAGAATGAAGTAATTTCTAGTAGTGCAATTCCTAACGGCCGAAGAATTCCTTTCCATAATGAACTAGGGGAAGGTACAACAAATGGTGTATAACCACATAAATCCCATATCCCAAAATATATCCAAATTCCATAAACATAACCAATATCACCAAAGTCCGAAACCTAAATCCATGTCCTTTACTAATAATAATAATAATAATAATCTTTGAAAATCCCATACCACATTGTAAAATCCAAGACTACCCCGATAATAAAATCTCATAATCTTATTAACACAAAATACCCAATTTCCAATCAAATCACATTTATGCAAGCAATTCCATATTTGAAAAACACTCATTTGAAAACAAATGTCCACTCACAACAAGTCCAATGCTAGCTCAACCCTGAGCGAGTTCATGATGAGCGATACATTGCACCTAAGTACCTCACTTGACAGAAATGGCGGCTGGAGTTGTAGGAAATTAGGAAAACGTAAGTTCTATTCGTCATCGAATCGAGTTCATCGACTACTAAATAGGTCAGGTCTTGGGTTGGTTTTGTAGAGGAGGACGAAAGGAAGATATTTTTTGAAGGCTGCGATGGCAACCAAGGTCAGACGGCATCACTGTTCACAACACAGAAAGAGAGAGATAGAGAGACAGAGAGAGAGAGAGAGAAAGAACCATAAAAAATAAAAAAAAAGAACCAGGTCTGTACTTAAATTGGGACTTTGCAATATTTACATTGTGGCACTACACTTCCATAGATCATAACTTCTTCGTTTAAAATCAAATTGAGCCTGCCTCCTGTCTACGAACTCATATTCACAAGCCTTATGCAACGTTGCTGCTCAATTCCCCAAATTCCTTTTCAAACTTCCAATGGCAAAAACATAATTTCACAATTAAATAATTACATAAAAACAATTTGTTGGGTCGGGGTGTTACAGCGTGCAATGTAGCATCCTACAAAAATGCATTTTAAAACACTACTATAGCACAAAGAATTCTCTATATTAATTTTAAGCCTTAACCAGGATAGACTACATGATAGGATATATGATCTTTGTTTGAACTAGAAAAGAATTTTGCACTTAGGAATACTTTAGTTTGACGTGTTTGGCAAAGACTTAGATACGATAATTATCATATAGAGAATTGAAAGAATTTGTTGAATGCTTTGAAATCTAACTTCGATTGCTTGTGGTTGTTTCTGAGACCCTAGACTTTCATCATTGTTTTTAACCCTTAAAAGTCACGTTTTTATTTTCAATTGATTTGATTAATTTCTTGTTTGTTTGTCATTATAACTCTTGTTTTGCATTTGTTTTTCTTAAAACACTTTCACTACAATTAGATCAAGTCCAATTTTTGTTCATGTCTAATTTTTTGCTCGTTTCTTGTATTGTGTTCACTTCAATTAGATCTAATTTTTGCCTTTCAAATTCCAATTCAATTTAGAGTTTCATAGGATCGATACTTGGACTTGTAAATCACAATACTACAACATTCTTGTGCACTTGCAAGGTCATATAAAGTTTTTGGTTAATTTAGAATTTAGATTCCTAATTTACGTCTAATTGAGTTTCTTTAGTTTATTTATTTATTTATATATTTATTATATATATATAAAGTTTTTTTTGTTTTAGAAGTACAAACCCGATTCAAAGAAGAAAAGACATCTTTGTTTATCATTGGAAAAACTCACAAGTCTCCTTTTCAACCTTTGTTTTTTAGAAAAAGAAATAGTAGCAAAGATAAGCAAAAGAGGAAACAAAGAAACAAAAATAGGGTTGTTCGACGAAAGGAAAAAATAAAGAAAAAAAGGAGAACTCACTCTAATCTAGTAGCATTTCAACAAGAAGTCATCATCTTCCTTTTCCAACTTAGACTTTCATTTCCCTTTATCAATTCAATTTTCGCCTTTATTTTTCATTCCCCAATTCAATTTTTATTGCCCTTCTTATAACCCTTTGTCCTTATCACATGTACAAAAAATCAATTCTCAAATTGTATGCAAGGGAGGTGTTCTCACAAATGGGAGTTTATTCCTATCGATCAAGAGCTTGAGCTTACGGTAAGAAAGCAATGAAGACAACATTCTTCACCATGACCATATATGGATGATCTAGTCAACCATGATAGAGATAATCCACCACCTCAACCAAGGTGTCTAAGGGATTACACTACACCAGTGGAGTACAATGCATCGTTATGCATCATCTTGGACCTAATCACGTAATGATTCGAAATTCTCTCGTCAATCATTCAACGTCTACCTATTTATCATGGGAAGAAGAAGGAAACCCCATCCTATCATCTAAAGACATTGTTTACTACCTGCTCCACATTTAGTTTTGACGGGGTTAGTGAAGAGCAAATTTCTCTCAAATTATTCACATTTTCCCTAATGGATAAAGCAACAAACTGGTTAGACTCACTTTCAGAAGCATCCATAAACTCTTGGATTGTTTTATCTACGAAATTTCCTTCAAAAAATTTCACTACTCATAGGACCAATGCTTTGATCCCATATATTATGAGTTTTTGTCAACAAAGAGGGTGAAACAATTTCACAGAAGTTGGGGGCGATATAAGGACTTGTTTCTTCAATGCACTCATCATGGTTTTGACACTTAGTCTAATTTTTTAGAGGCTTGATTCAACAATAGGGGTTAGTCTAATTGACATGACTACAATAAAGCCATAAGTTTTTTTTTGTTGAGACAATCTATGAAAATGATGAGCAATGGGACTTTTTGACAAAAGATTCTAGAGTTGCAGCTCTCACAAAGCTTCTAACACCATTGGGGAACGAGGTAACAACGCAACCATGTATTATGTTTGCCATTATCACCCATGACATTATGACTTGCCCATCAAATCCTACTTTAGAAGATGTGCAAGAGGTCAATGCATTCAATGGAAGGTGCTAGAATGATCCTTATTCTAATACTTACAATGTTGGATGAAGAAAACATCTAAACTTTTCTTGGAGCAACTCATTTAGTATCGTGGGACCTTCCAATTCCTCAAGATAATACCACCAACCCTATCAAACTTTTGTTCAACAAGAGGTTGCATCACTTACACCAATCTATATTGGAAAAGAGTCAATCTAAATCTGAGATTCAGTTGGGACAAATAGTTACTACTCTGAACAGATTAGAGAGAGCACAAGGTTAATTTCCAAGGCAAAAAGAAGCAAATCCCAGGAATCATGATCATGTTAAAGCTATTACACTTTGAGAAACAGGAAAATGATTGATAATAAGATTGGAAATCCATAGATTAATGATAAAGAAAAAGAAGAATAAGTCATGAAAGAAACAGGGCTGTAGCTTGACAAGAAGTTTGAGGGCTCCTTGAGGTATGAAAGTAACGCTCTGACCCTTGACAAAGTTGCTGAATTTGCGAATCATACTGATCCAATGCATAACCTCACGGTCCTCTACCTTTCCCTCAACATGATAGACAAGCTTGAAATGAGAAGTTTAAGGGAGATATTATGGAACAATTTAAGAAGGTGCAAATTAATATCCATTTGCTTGATGCAATCAAACATATCCCTTCATATGCAAAAATTTTAAAGGATATTTACACCAACAAAATGAGGTTTGAAGAGTATGAACATGTGCTATTATCCTACAACGTGAACGGCTGGCGATTTCTCCAGCCTCCCTTAGGGGAGCCTCATCTGTCCTTCAAGGTGGTCGGTCTATCATGGCGGCTTCTCCGCCTCTTATTGCGCTTCTCTTTCTCCTCCTTTCTTTTGACCTTTATGTCTCTTCTCCGCTATGACTTTTCTCATGACTTCTCCACCTTTATTCCTTTTGTGCTTCTTCACTCCACCCTCCTCCCTCTTCTTCTTTTCCTTACCTCGCCGGTTCCCTTTCATTTTGCCCCAAACCACTAAGTCTGCATCACCCCTACATCTATATTTCCCTTGGTTCCTGAGCTCCCCACCGGCTCTTCCTTCCTTATGCATATCCCCATCCACACCATGGATGATGCATGGGTTTGGGCTATAAGGCTTTGGGAGTTAAGGATCTTGTTGGATCCATTATTTAGACAAATGAGTATGTTGCGGTTTCACTCCTATCCTTTTCAATTTGTCTCCCAAGGTCTCTTTCTAGCCCTCTACTCTGGTGGTTGCCTTGGTGGTGATGAACCTTGTAGTGATGGCGGCTACTGGTTATTTTTATTTATTTATTATTATTTTTATTTTGTGGTAGGGTTATTAGGGTTTGCAATGGACATAGGCGGTTGTTAGTGGGCTTCTTTATATTTATTTTGTTTGTTTTGTTTTTATTGTTTTTGGGCATTTTTTAAATGTCTTTGTCTTTGGACCTGTTGTAATGTTCTGTTTCTAATAATGATTTGTTTCCCGACCAAAAAAACATAGTCAACAAGGCCATCAATAAGAAATCTATAATGGGAGCTATATGGCAAAGTAGGAGCAATTGCCATTAGAAGTATGCTAATCTTAAACATTTACTTAACCAATAAGTTCGTGGATTGTCAGACATAGAAAGTGACTTAAAGAATTGAAGTTCATGTGACCTTTATGTACCATGTCCATATCCTAAATAGTTCGTGGTCAGTGCACTGTATCTGCTTAATCAGGAGGATGACTGGTTTCGAGTCATTCGTGTGGAGACTCTAAGTTAAGTGTAGGGGCTTTTTCCTTCTGGCAGCTACAAATGGGCTGGGCTGCCGTAAGGAGGAAACTGAAGAAATCGTCCCCTATGTCTGAGTTCGAAAATTAAGCCCCAAAATACCTCGAAAGGGCAGTAGAGCCTTAGGAAGTATTTTGGTTACCTTCACCAATCAAAATAATGGCAGCTTACAGATAATTTATGCATGCTTACAGATAAAATTTTAAGCTTGGCATGAGAGGCATGTGGCATGGGAGCAAAATCAACATGAGTTTAGCACTAAGAGAAAATTTAGGCTTGCTTTGAGGGAAAAGGAAGTGTTAGGGTAAGGAAGGAGAAGTTTTGTAAGAGATTTGGCTAGGAAAGGGAAAATGAAGAGCATAGTTCTTCCGGTAGCTGCCAGAAGAGCAAAATGGAGAAGAAGATGAACAGTGCACGAGATTGCTGGGTTTTTGTACGTTAGAGAGAAAGCTTGCTCTCTGGGTCTGAGTTATGGCTAATGGTGAAGTATTTGGTGGTTTGGGCAAGTTTCCAGCAGCCTGACAAAAGCTATGTCAAACTCTAGAATGGCATGGCAGAATGGAAAGTGGGAGGAGATGGAGGAATAGGGCACGAAATTGCAGAGATTTCATGGTGAGAGATGAAGCTTGCTCTCTAGATGTGGGTTGCCTCCGTTGGGTAGAAAAGGCATCAATTTATAGCCGCTGGAAATCACCATTCTTCAAGAAACCCTAATGGCTTCTACTTATTTTGGCTAAGCTTTTTCCTCCTTTCTCCTCCTCTTATCTGACTTCCCTATCTTGGCAAAAATTGCCTCTGTTTATTTGCTCGAATTCAGGAGATTTTGGAGCTCAATGTCCCCATTTCCCGCAGCTGCGCAGTAGGAGCTTCCCTTCTTGGTTACTGTTTTTTCTTCTTTCCTTCCCCCTGCCTTGGCTAAATCTGATGAAGGAAATGAAGTGAAAATATATGCTGGTCCAAGGGGTGCTTTTGACAGCGTGCAGGCCAGCATTCCTTGGTTCTTTGGGCGTCTCTGGCTTGGAACTTGCTCCCAGCAGCTTTGCTTGATGAGTCTGCCAATCTCCTTCACGTGTTTTCTGTTTTTCAAAAGAGCTTAAGCTTTTGTGGGCTATTTTGGGATTTTATAAGGGCCAAGGTGGTTTTCTAAGCAAATGGGCTTTTTGTGAAACATTGGGCCTCTTGATTGGGCTTATTTTTTTGGTTGGGTTATTTCTTGGTTAGGTTATTTTGCTTGGGCTTTTGGGCTACTTTTCTCTCTTGTGCTTACCCACATGTTTAGGCCTATGAAATGGGCTTGAGTCCCGAGACTCCCAAGCAACCCGGGACTTCCATTTCTTGACCCATCAATGGGCCTTATGACAATTTATTACCATCCATACCACAACCCACTCAAACAAGCCCCAGGCATCTAGCGTGGCTTGGGTCCACTTAAGCTTGTAGCGTGGCATGTTGCTTATTTGCTTGACGTGACATGTGTGCAAAGCGTATATGACGAACTTTCGCATGCCTAAATCGGGTTTCTTCTTCATAAGGTATCGTATTGGGCCGATAATTTATTTGGGCCGAAGCGTGAATTTTTTGGGCCTCAACAATAAGTATATAGGTGTTCAATAGAGAATGAATTCAATGAACGTGATCAAGAGAGAGAACTTGAATTGAAGTCTTACTTACATGTAAATAAGGATCTCTCAAGTTGGAATAGTGCAAATTACTCATTGACCTAAGGCACCACGAGTTGTCTCATGGAATCGTCGTGGGCCCTTAGCCATGTTGAAGCATTGTGTTTCCTCTAGGCATAACCCAAATATATGACTAGGGTTCATGATCAATTCATGGAGACATGTGAGTGTACAACAAGGGATCTCTACCTTCAATAAAGGAGGAGAATGCTCAAAAGATGCGACTCAAAAGTCTTTGGCCAAAGCAACAGGCTAGATCAATAATAAAGATTGTGATCATGCTCCAATGAATCACATGAGACTATAGATCATGCTAAGGGTTTGACATGAATTTCATGCCCCAATAGCATGATCAAGAGCATTGATTAAGAGAACAAAATAATTTCAATTGAATAGGTTCACAACATTATTCTATATTGGCTTGGACAACCGTGACATGTTGCTAGACGTCACTCACGGTTTGTGGAAGCCTTGGGAACAAAATATAATCTAGTTCTCATCAAGGGAGAATTAAAAAGGAGTTTTAATTTATAATCAATCAATAAAGAGTTTTGGATCGCCCACTACCTTGTCGATTAGAACATAATAGATCACACACCGAAAAGGTTAGATGAAGTTTGGGCATAAACTATGAAATTGGGTTCAAGGACTTTTGGGCTTGGACCCAATGGGCTAATAAAGTTATGTGGGCTTAGTAGGATGACCACTTGAGCCCAACAAGCCCAATATTTACCCCATGGCCGGTTTTACCTAGAGGAAGACTTGGTCTCCTTCTCGTGGGTCTATATATATGAACTTCGTCTCTTTAGAAAAGTAAGGGTTTTTGAGCTAGTTTCAAGAGAGGAGTTAGATCACCATCAAGCTCCTCCCACCTAGCCAAAACTAGCCACCCTAGGAAATGAGCACTAGCATCATTTCCTTCCTAGGTCGCATCATATTCTCCATCTTCCTCGGTGTAGAAAAGTTAGAGATCACCTCTATTGGTGATTTAGTGAATCTAGAAGGCCTTCCATAAGGTGATCAACTCAAAGGATGTCAACCTTGAGTAGTAATTCAAGGGTAAAGTTTATACGGTTAGTTATGTTAAAGCTTAAAAATAATTGGGGTTAGTCATGTTAAAGCTCAAAGATTAAATTTTAAAACTTCTGTAGCCTAAAGTTATTTGTAACCTTATCTTTGTGGCTAAATATAACTAGGATTTTAATGTTTCCTTCAATGGCTCTCCTAGGAAAGGTCCAGGGTTTGAGTCCTAGCATCAGTGTAGTGTGTGTGAGTTTAATATACTACTGCCCCTCTCAATAAAAAAAAATTCCTAAATAATAATAATAATGGGAGCTATATGAAAGTGGAACACCGAAATCAGTTGAAATCTCAATTGATTGCACTCCATACCGACTTAAGAAATCAGTTGGACATTTTCTCTTAAAAATCACCCCCACTCAAAGCCCAATCACAAATTCAGACAACTTGTTTGGCCCTCGCAAGGGGAATTTTGCTGCAGATCTCTCTTGGTCACGAAATGTAAGAAGACGATACTTGTGTTGATCGTGTACCACCTAGAATCCTTCCGGCCATTCAACTAGATTAGTGTGTTTCAGAGTGTTTGTGGAAGTTTTTCCCCTCTTGTTTTTTTTAATAAAAAAATTATTTTTTAAAAAGTTTTGTTTATTTTGATATAAAAACATATAAATTTTTAAAAAAAAATATCAGGCCCAAATTGTGTCGGTGGGAATTATGTGGCTGTACTGGTAGTCTGTAGCCCGCATGCCCTACAACATCCAAAGATTGACGCGCCAGTATTTCAAACAGAATAATTTCTACTCGCTATCTCTAGTCCATCTTTGTCAAGAACAAAACCCTACATATGTACATTTAATAAGGCTGGCCAAGTGGCCATGCAATTTCCAAAGAGAGAAAGTGAAGGCATTGGAGACAGCCTGAAAATGTTATTCTATATAATTGGCCCCATATCTTATCTTTTCTTTCTACAACTAATAATTATTTCAACTTCTGTGTCTTTAAAACCAAACCCACAAGGAACCACAACCAAACCCACAAGGAACCACAATCTCTCAAGCCAAAGCAACCCTTGAGAGAGGCGATGAGGTATGTTTTCTTTTTTACTTAAAATGGTGGTCATAAATTTTGGTAGTGTTTTTGTGGGGCTTCTTTGACGTTTCGAATTCATTCTGCAGAAAATGCTGAATTGGAAAATGGTTGGTTTGTTTGCTTGTCTTTCAGAATCTAACTAAAGTTTCCTTCTGCACTCAACAAGAAGGCCTCAGCTTTTCTTCTTCTGCTGCTGCAAGATCTGCATATTTCCAGTCTTTTGGTACTTTTTCTGTCTCTCTTTCTGTCTCTTTCTCTCTCTGTCTCTCTCAAACTATGTATTCTGTGGGTTTTAATGGCTAGGATTTGATTTCTGCGCATGCATTTTCCTGGTTTGAATATCTTCAGTCCTTGGTATATGTTTTTTTTTATTTTTTTTGGGCTCTGTTTGGTTTTACATAAACTGATGTAGGAAATTAACTGCTCAAATCCTGTACCCTTGCTAATTGGGACTCTCAAAAACTAAGTATCCTTTTAGTTTTCATTTATCCCATGACAGCTATTCATCTTTCTTTTAAAGAATGGAAAAGAAAGCATAAATTGACCAATTGCAACATCCCTAAGTTTTCTTCATTTTCTTGCAGGGCTACCACAGTAAAAACCGAACAGACCGCTTACCAGATTATTTTTTTTTTTTTTTTTTTTTGTTGGGTACCGGATTTTATAATCCGGAAATGGAAGAATCTAAAACCGAAAAAAGGTGGGTTGTTTTTTGGTAAAAATTAAAAAGATATATATACCGATTATTAATGAATCGAATATTACCAACATTAATTACCGAAGAATATACCAAAATATATTCAAGTATTTACTGAATTATTAATAAATAGAGTAATAAATTATCAATGTTGGAAGAAATCCAATATTCAAATTCATCACTCCAATTGATAATAAAACATCTTTGTTATATGAGTGTCATTAAGTGTCCGTTTGCCATTGCTTATTTGGGCCCATAAGTGATTATTTTAAAAAAAAATTTGAAAGCACATGATGTTTGGTAAGAAATTAATAAGGGTGTATTCAATTTAGATTTTAAATGATTTTAAAAGAGTTATAAGTTGATGGAGTTCAATTGAATTTAATTGAGTTTAACTGAATTATACAAACCCCACATAGATTTTGACTGAATTCGTGTATAGATTTTAATTAAGTTTGTTAGAATTTTATTATTGATTTTCATGGAGTTTATAGCGATGCTGGTTTGTGAGAGAGGTAGCGGTGGAGGAGGTGGGGGTGGTAGTGATTGTGAGTAATTGTTGTGAGAAAAAGAAATTAGGGAAAGCTGGTATAGAGCTGCTTTCATTTTCTAATTATGCGACAATTGGTTTGGAGAGGCACTAGAGTTTAAAAGTGAAAGTTATCATCTTCCTGATTTTCATAGGTGTGTTCAATCGATGGGTTATAAAGAGGTATTTAATCATGCATACTTCCCTTAGAGTGTTATTGAATGCACTTTTGGAAACTGGAAAAAGTACTTTATGAGACATGCCTAGTTATCCTTTTGCAAAACAAGTAAAAATAGTTATTGCAACCATGACACTTCATCACTATATAAGACATGCCAAATGTGATTGTCATTTTGATGAGAAATCATATATAGCTTCAATGAGTTCATCTACTTAGATATGTATATGATTGCTTGCTTATGATTAGCTTTATTTTTGTTATGATCATATTATTGACAAAATATTTATTTTAAATGGAATATATTGGATTAAACTTGAAACAGTTAGAACATTTGAATACAAATATTTAATTTTCAACATAATAATTTATTTATTTTATAATTCAAATAATTTTAGGGTGTAATGAAAACATATTTAATACAAAAATATATATGTAAGTGAAAATGAAAGTGCTTTTCCTTTTACCAAACACATGACCAGAAAAGTCATTTCAACATTATGTCCTTTTTATTTATTATACATAGCTCACAACATTTTCACAACAAAATTTACCAAACATTCAAAAACTGATTCTTGTACCAACATCACGTTTAACAAAAAGTTTACCAAATGTCAAACTGTCCCTAAGAGTAATAGTGAGGATAATCATTTCATATAGGGATCTCTATTTTTTTTCTTTTTTGTGGAACCTCTAATAATAAGATGTATATTGTATTCTAGTACTAATATTACTATCAACAACTTGGTATATTCCAACTTGTACTTCTTTTTTCCAGCAATTAGAGGTATTTCATTTTTATTCAAATTGTTTAGTCTTCATATATATTTTAAATGATGTGACATATTTTAAACCAAGTAATAATATCGCTCTTTATCAAGAAAAAAGAATAATAAAGCCAAGCAAATCTTAGTAAAGAAAAACTAAGTAGAGGATTTTGATCCATCCTAAAAAAACTGTAGTTCCATTTTTTGTTTATTCCTTATCCTAAAAATCGTAGTCCAATTTCAATTGCTTAAATGCCATTTTCATTGTTTGATATAAGTTATAACCTCATACCGATGGGTACCCTATAATAGTGTGTGTGTGAGAAAACTCCATCGCTCGTAGAAAATAAAATAAAAAAGTTAACCTCATTATTCAATTTAAATTTTGAACAGAGTGTTGTACAATCAGTGTCAACTAAGATGACTTTGGGCGACTGCAAGGTTAATACATTGGGTTGTAATGGAGGCATGAACAAGGACAAGCCCTTTAAGATCTTTGTGGGTTATGATCAACGTGAAGACATTGCATATGAGGTTTGTCGACACTCAATATTGAAGAGATCTTCAATCCCAGTTGAGATCATACCACTTAAACAATCTGATCTGAGAAAGGAAGGCCTATATTGGCGTGAAAGAGGCCAACTGGAGAGCACAGAGTTTTCTTTTACTCGGTTCTTGACTCCATATTTGGCCAACTATGAAGGTTGGGCAGTGTTTGTGGATTGTGATTTTCTTTACCTAGCTGACATTAAGGAGCTAAGAGATTTGGTTGATGAGAAATATGCCATGATGTGTGTTCAACATGATTACATCCCAAAGGAGACAACAAAAATGGATGGAGCATTGCAAACTGTGTACCCTAGGAAGAATTGGTCTTCCATGGTGTTGTACAATTGTGAACATCCCAAAAACCGGGTCTTGACGCCGGAGGTTGTGAACACACAAACCGGAGCTTTTCTTCATAGGTTTCAGTGGCTTGAGGATGAAGAAATTGGGTCCATCCCATTTGTTTGGAATTTTCTTGAGGGACATAACCAAGTTGTTGAAGGTAATCCCCGGACTTTCCCTAAGGCAATACACTATACTCGGGGAGGACCGTGGTTTGAGGCTTGGAAGAATTGCGAGTTTGCAGACCTGTGGTTGAATGAAATGGAGACGTACCTGCAGGAATGTATAGTGGTTATTAATAGTAGCTAGGCATTGCATTGTATTCTTACGATTCGTTGTGTAACATTTAGCTCTTTATGCAGTATTTGTATTATATTAATTAAAGTAATCTGTATTTCTTTCTTGTACATTTTAAACATTTATGAATATGGTTTGGTGGTAGAGTTAATTAGAATTTTCATACTAATACCAAAATTTAAAACTCAATTGTAAATGGCTTTATCATTTTAATTGGAGGGCCAACACTAACTATGGTCCGGCCTTGGTTTGAAGGCTTGTGATTTCTATATATATAAACATGTTTTATTTGGATTTTCTTTTATTTAGAGCTCTACCCATATATGTCCTAATTAAAGATACTAAACCTCTGCATTTAGAGATAATGCATTTACCTGCATTTGAGGCTAGAGTTAGCCAAGACAAATTGGTTTAGCTTCAGGACATATATCATATTGCTTCACCAAGTCAACAATTGGAAGCACGTGAATTGCAGGGAGGCTATAATGAGTTTAAAGTGAGGAGGCTATTTGAGGAGGTCAATCTCATCATCAACAAATGTAAAGAAATCTTGGGACTTAAACATTTTAAATGTTTTGATAGTGGGATTGGCCTCCTCAAATAGCCTCCGCACTCTAAACTTCTCATTGTACCCTCTTCCAATGAACTGATAATGTCAAATTTACATTCTCCATGCATAAATTGCTAGCCGACTATTGTGACCCAACCTCAATCGGATTGGGCCAGGCCATAAAATTGAATTGGCCCAACCTAGTCCGGCCGTCAACCAACATTCTCCATGGGCCCACTATAGAAAATGGCAATAATGGTAGAAGTTGTCATGTTTGGTATATCCTAATCAAAATAGTAAACTAAAAAACTATGATTTTTTTTTAAACATGAGTTTTTAAATAGTGATTTTAAGATCTAAAAACTTGTTTGGCATTGAACTCCAAACTATTTTTAAGATCTGAAAAAAAATTAAAATTAAAATCAGAAAATTAGAAACCCTAATCCCCAAATTGAAACAAAAGAAAAGGAAAAAATTGTGAGACATAAACCCTATCAGTTTTGGTGGTGCGCAACAACTCCAACTCCCTGATGCCGCTTGAACTTGCTTTGGTAGTTTTGGTGGTAATTGGTACGCAAAGACAAGCCCGATTGGGTATCATATGAGAGAGAGAGACAGAGAGAGAGAAGAAATACTGTAAAACCTCACTTTTTTTGTTTTTAATAATTGAGGTGTTTTTTTATTTATTTTTTGGGTTTTTGAAAATTGGGGTTTACAAGAGCAATTGAGAAATTAGATGCTGGGGGGACCTTTGTTTACACCCAATACATGTTTCTCGACACCCATCAAAAACCTTTAAAATAAAATCGCAATCACTTTTTTTTGTTTTTAATAATTGAGGTGTTTTTTATTCTTTTTTGGGTTTTTAAAAATTGAGGTTTACAAGAGCTATTGAGAAAATTAGATGCTGGGGGGACCTTTGTTTACACCCAATACATGTTTCTCGACACCCATCGAAAAACTTTAAAATAAAATCGCAACAATACCCATTTGTAAACTTATCATAAAAGGGTTTAATAACTTCGTAAACAAAAAATCAATTTCTTGAGCACCCAAACTGGATACCACAAATATTATTAAACCCCAACACATCAACTGAGTTCTAACTCTTTAACCCCGAACTCACTTGAAATCTACCCACATTATAATAATTATGAAGAGGTGCAAGATTTTCAACTTTTTAAAAGACTTTTCGATAGGGTTTTGAAGACAGATATTGAATGTAAATAGAATCCATCTTACAAAATACCAAACAGCATTTGAAAAAAAGAAGAAAAAAAGAGCCAATTGGTGAGTTTTTGAAAAAACAAGTTTCTCCTAATAAAACGACTAAAAGGTCAATAAACTTAAATGTAAATAAAATAGAAGAAGAAAGTTGCCCATCTCAATGTGGAGCCTACTTAGACATGTCAATAGAATAAATTTTAAGCTGATGTAATATAATATGAATTCATATTTTCAATCCAATAATATAATTAGAGTATCCATAATAGACTTTCTAAATCATCTCATTAGACAAAATTTAGGGAAGAATTGGAAAAATACAAGTCCAACCATGCATACTCAAAAACTTGTTTTATGGATAAATTGGAAAAATACAACTCCACCTCCTAAAATAGGGAGAACTCTATGAGCTCCTAAATCTGAGGAGAGAGAGAGAGGACTCTTAGTGGCTCCCTATAATTTAATGCTGCTTTGTTTTATGCATATTTTAAACTTTTAATTAATACTAACTTTTTTTAAAAAAAAATATAGAGATTAACTAATTACATTGAATCAAAAAATAATTATAGCATTTATGACTCCCTAAACTAGAGAGTATATTTTTTTATTTATAGAAAAGATGGTATTTCATTCAACCAAAATGAACATTACATGGTAAGAACTAGCATGTTAACGGCGACCTCGTTAAAACCTTCCCAGAAAAACAAAATTCCAAGGTAGGAAAGAGTATCACCCATGCTATTGACTAAACAAAAGAGTCAAACAACTTATACGAAACAAACCAACCTAAGCCCCAAGAACAAAACTCTTAAAACAACATCACATCACTACGTAGGTAGTGTAAAAGAAGTCCTCCAATGATCTAGAAAAAGCATCATAGTTCTTTGTACAAAGTCAAAAACGTACTATGGGTATCAGAATAGATCCAGCCAATCACCTAATAGCAAAACCATTGAAACACATCACATCACTACGCAGATACTGTCAAAGAAAGCCTTCTATGATCTCAAGAAAGCATCGATCATAGTTCTTCGTACAAAGTCAAAAACGTGTTGTGAGCATCATAACAGATCCAGCCAAACGTCAATCGCCACCTCCAATTTTCTTGATCCAAAACCCCAGCTGACAAGCAAGGGAGACCAAGATTGGCCTCTTAGCCTGAAGAAAATTCTGAAGAAAGATCTTCATAGTAGGAACGTTCCATATGAGAATTATCAGAAAAATCCATGCCACTAACAATCAGATGCCCAACACCAGTTTTCGCACGCTTCTGATTCCCGCTTGGTGCCACATATATTTGTCATCCCCTTAAGCAGAAGAGGCGGTGGCCATCTCCATAGCGTTAAGATGGAGACCCCTCACCAGCGACTGGCTCCTTGGGAACCCAGAAAGGAAGCCAATCCAGCCACCCCACAGAGAACAAAAGAGCAAAAAAAAACGTTATACCCAATTCATCAAGAAGAACCCAAAGAGACAATCAAAGAAGATTGAGAGGACGGCGCAGAGAATGAGTAAAGAAAACTATGATGCCGTATAGAGTGTTTTAGGTTTTTTTTAATGAAGTTTTGAGGTTGGGTTTATTTTAAGAAATCAATGGTAATTTTGTAATTTATAGGAAGTTCAAAGCCTTTTTGTTATTTGGGTGTGTTTCTAAAGTCTATTTCATGTAAGATTTTTTTTTATAATTTAGACCCTCATATTGGATATAATAATGAATCTTCCTATTTTTATAATGGTCGGAGACTTTTTATAGACCTTCTTTGAAGATACATAAATTATTTTTGTAGATAACCTTTATCTTTGTTCTGACACACCGACGTACTGAAAAAAAAACAAGAAAGATTGGGTGGAAAGGCAAATAATTAATTACAAATTTATAAATAAACCCAATCCTAGACATGTATTTATAAAAAAACCCAAGTACTATTTAAACATAGAAACACACCCAAAATCAACCCCAAAGTCAACTTTTTGGGTGTGTTTATAAATGGGTTTTGAGTGTGTGTAATGATGGGTTTTGGGTGTGTTTATAAAGTGTTTTGGGTGTTGGGTTTTTTTATAATTTCAACCTCTATTTTGGGTGTTTTAGCGAAACTCCCATAATTAATTTCATGCATACGCCATAGAGCAAACTATTATTAATTTTTTCAACAAATAATGGTTTTGTCATCTTAGCCTAGAAACCTTGTATAAGGAAAGGTAGGGGATGAGATGAGAAGATATGCATTTCTGACAAATATGGGCATCATTTGCTTGCCAAGTTGGGGTTAGGGTAGAGACAAAAAACACAGTCCACTTTTTTAAAGGAAAAAAAAGTGAGACGTATGGGATTTTATTTTCAATCGAAATGATATAATGCAACATGCTGCTTGCTTCTTACGCTTTGTCATGAAATCAACGCTATCCAATCCCAAATCTCACTTTCTCTGCCTTCGAATTTATGACCCTCTCCCTCATCCTTCTCTTTTTGAGTTATCAAACAGTTGGCAAAGTCCAAGGACTGGCGGCTATTATTCATGCATGTTACTACGTTATGTTTCTTTCTTTTTTGATTTTTATTATTTATTTATCCCATAATATGCACAGAATTGCTGACATAAATGGATGAAATTAGAGTTATATAATTATTGTAAATATGGACTTTGTCACGTTGGCTTGAGCGGATAAATTTTTAGAGTTCGAATCCCCTTTTTGTATTTTAAATTAGATTAAAATAGAATATTGAAAAAAAATTATATAATTATTTTTACAATGTAATATTTATGATTTTATACAACAACAAAATTCTCCAAACGACAAGGTTGGCTTTTGAGATTAGATTGTATATTTCATTGAGGTTAATTTTGTCATTTGCATATTTTTTTAATGAAATAATCAAGTTTTAGACAAACAATTAACAAAACGGAATTTTGTGAAAATAAACCGAAACCTCAGGGGGTGTTCGTGTAACTTTTGAGACTTGAGAGGATTTTGTGAAAACACAAAAAACTTCAGTGGGATGTTGGTGTTAATAACTCTATAATATTATCAAGCACACTGGTTGGTGAAGAGGTGAACCAGTCAAAAATTGACTCACACGTATGGGTAAAAAGAAACGCCAATCAAAAGTTCATCTGATCAAAGGTAGTAGCCAAACAATTGATCCGATTTTGAGGTGTGTTCATGGCATGTCATATTGGAAAAGGAAGGAGTTAAAAGAGAATTTGATAAAAAGATGCAACCCAATTGGAAGGATGGT